CAATAGTACCCACCACTGTCTGCTCATCTTAAGACAGTTCTAAATGGCTTCCAACACTTTTAACATTACTAATTGAGTGTTTGTGCTTGTAGGAGGGAGTTCGTATGGAGGAAATTGTGGAGGGCTGCACAGGAGCACTCCACATCCTGGCCAGAGATGTCCACAACAGAATAGTTATCAGAGGACTCAACACCATTCCACTCTTTGTACAGGTAAAATTCTCTGTTTTGCTCTGTTCTTGTGCTTGTGGTGTGTGTGGCTGTAACCACAACAGCACATCTCAAAAAGTGAATAATATTGAGAATTTTGTTAATCTCTGCAAATTTAATTTTGATTAAATTTCAAGAATAATGATCTGTTAGTAATGTGATTACATCATCTGGGGTATATCTGGATTAAATAAGGAATGTACATCTCAATATGTGTCACATTAAGGTACAACAATTAAATGTTGTGTGTGTCCTCACATGCAACTTTATGGTCTGCTGCAGCAGAATAATGTGCAGGCTGAGTTTTTCTAAGCATCCTGTTTGTGTTTGTGTGTGCAGCTGTTGTATTCTCCCATTGAGAACATCCAGCGTGTTGCAGCAGGCGTCCTGTGTGAGCTGGCTCAGGACAAAGAGGCTGCTGAGGCCATTGAGGCTGAGGGAGCTACTGCCCCACTCACAGAGCTATTGCACAGCCGCAACGAAGGAGTTGGTATGTACAAAACGCTCATTTACATACTGCCATCATTCACATAATAGCTGCTCTTGAGCTTCGCAGATGTTCAGAAAAGCCTGGCACTGTCACTTAGAAATAATTGTTTTTGTGATGTTTTCCAAGTGGGACTCTTTAGTGTGACATGGTCATTAATGTTGCGACTGTAATCATGGTAATACCAGGCATCTTACTTGTCTGCTCTGATAGCTGTATTATTGCTTTATTAATTTGACGCACCACAGAAAGGAGACTAATCTAAAACCCCCCCCCCCCATCTTTCCTCAGCCACCTATGCTGCAGCAGTTTTGTTCCGAATGTCAGAGGACAAACCCCAAGATTACAAGAAACGCCTCTCTGTAGAACTCACCAGCTCGCTCTTCAGAACAGAACCAATGGCCTGGAACGAGGTATGATGCACTCAAAATCAGCGTTGTTCTTGAATTGCCAATCAGTACAAAAAGCTCAGATGCGCATTTACATTTTGATGTAAACTTGAGTGCCGAAATGCCTGTGAACTTATTAAAACTGTTCCCTACTCATCCTTGTTTGTGTGTCTTGTTTTGCTCTGCAGACCGGAGACCTGGGTTTGGACATTGGAGCTCAAGGAGAGCCTCTGGGCTACAGACAGGAAGGTAAGTCATTTCCTCACCTCCGGCTGGCTGGGGGGCTCCCAGGAGTAACACAGGAGGGGACAAGGTTGTCATGAGAGAGACGATAGCTGATTTCTTCTATACTGATTGGGCATACAGTCGTCGTCTTTTTGTTCTGGGTAATTCTGTTCTGTTAGCTTCTCTAAACCCATGAAAGTCCTCTGCTCCCTTAATAACATACACAACTAAATTTTGTCACAGTCCAATGACTGTGCTCCATCTGTCCCTAGCTATTACTGCCGATGACAGGATTGGCTGTGAAAGGTCATGATACACAGGCAATTTGAGACAGTGGTGAAGGGCAATAATGCTTTCAAGTTACAGATGGAGATTGATTTTATCCCTGCTGTCATTCAGAATAACACAGGTGGCTCCAAGAAATACAATACTGCTGCTTTTAGTTGTTGTCACAGTTGGCCATCTAAATGTTACCAGTGTACCAGGACCTTGGACTGTGTACTGATCAATAAGCTAAGGGGCGTGCGTTGGCTGTTGATTTTAATTTGCACTGCTCTCCATTCTTCCAGCAATAACTGCTTTAATTGGCTCCTAGCCAGCCAAATGGAGATGGATTTCTGTTGGTAGAAACAAACTCAACACAGTGAACTAGGCCACGGGTTTAGCTAAATTCAGTTCAAAGTCTTTTACAGCTGTAGTTTGAGCTGAGTTGACCAATAGTTTTGAGGCTGAACGGTGTGCTGTGTTGCTGTGTAGTGTTACGTTTGAATGATCATACTACTGTGTGACAGCTTGGTTTGTTAACATGCTTCTAACAACTGCTCTGCTTCCCCTGCCTCTCCTCCATCCACTCCTCCCTCACCCCCAGACCCAAGCTACCGTTCCTTCCATTCGGGGGGTTACGGAGGGGACACGATGGGCATGGAGCCCATGATGGACCATGATCTGGGTGGAGGCCACCACCCGGGCCAGGACTACCCCCCTGTAGAGGGGCTGCCTGACCTGGGACACGCCCAGGAACTGATAGAGGGCCTGCCACCTGGCGACTCCAACCAACTGGCCTGGTTTGACACCGACCTGTAAATACCAAGACCAACATTACACTACACTTTCTACTAGGTAAGGGTATCTTCACACTCAGTCTATAGCCTTGTGATAGCTGAAATAAATGGTAGCCATTTCCTGGGCAAGATGAAAAAGTAGAAGCACAGCAGGGGTGTTTTCTGTCTGGATAAAATGGCTGAGGGGAGGGGAGAGTGGATTTACTCACTGAGGCTGCTGCATGGTCACACTGCTCCTAATTGCAAATTGTGTGATGTGGTGTGTGTGATGTTACTTGGTGTTTGATCTGTGTGTGTGGTCTTTACCAACGCCTGTGCTCAGTCTCCTTCCACTTACCTCCTGTTTTTCTCCCTCATTCCTTCCTTTCTTTATTCCAATCATTTCTCTCCTCCCTTTGCAGCTGTATCATGTGATCTGGATGAACCTGCATTGTGATTCGCCCATATGGAGGAGGCGGGGTTTCAGAAAGTGCCTGAAGATGACTCAACAACAGCAAGCAGAGTTTCCTGTCTATGGGAACTCCATTGGGACAAACAAGATTTAAGTGCGGTTCTGTTCTGGTCTCTCAGCCTGACAGGGGGCTGACATCAAATCCTGACATGACACACGGATTTTGATCTTAACGATTGATTTTCAAAAACCCTTTTATGTATTTTGTTTTTCATTTTTACTTCTTTTGGTTGTTTTACTTTTTTATTCTATTTTCATTAAGTCTGTAATGGTACAAACTGATTCTAGTTTGATTTTTTTTCATTATTCTGAATTATGATACTCATCTCTTGTTTTTGCAGTCCCGTGTATTTTAAGTCTCTGATAGTGTTGAGTTTTTTAGTGGTAATGCTCCATCCAAGTAAAGAATCTGATCACATTTTAAATGGTGTCCAAACACTAAAGTTAATCAGTTGAATTGTATTCTGATGATCAAGTGTAACATTGTGTAGCTTTTGTATAAAAACATGAATTGGAAATCATGGTCCAAATATCAAGCTATTTTCTTGCTTTAAAGGTGGACACTGATGTGTCTTTGCTGTTCCAAAGGGGGTGTAGCTGACCTAAGCTGGATGGGTGTGGCTGTGGAAGGATAGGGGTGGAGGAGGGCTTTTACTGGTCTGCTGTTACTAAGGGGTGGGGTAGTGGGAGGAGCTGGTTGCTGTAGCCTGCTGTGTTCTGAAACAATAAAATGGACTGTCATTTCACCTGGACGCCTCCACGTCTCATTTCACCTACACCTTAAATCAAGGAGGGGACACACGTTACACAGCAAGACAACACATCAGTCGTGGGAAAATTTCAAAAGCTTTTTGCTGAATCTGACATCTTTTAGCACGTCTATAGCAAATATCATGAACTATGGTAGAATTACAATTAAGACCAAGTCGAATGAGTCTGACCAGTCTCAGAACCGCTGTTTCTTCAGAGGCTTGTAGTACTGAGCTGTTTCAACTAAAAGGGTCTTTTGTTCAGTAACCAGTCAGCCTGATGTACAACACAACATAATGGGTTAGGGTTACGCCTCTTGGTAAAACTAAAGTTCTCTGCTATAGGAAGGCAGAACTAGGGCATCAGACAGCAAAGTTAACAGATGCCCACAACAACACAGGCAGGACTTCAGTGTAACACATCAAACAACAGATTAGTAGCAAGGTGTGGAAAACCGATGAAACTGAAAATGGGTATCTACATCCATATGCAGCTTGGCAGGAAGCCAGTTCTGTTCACTATCTTCCTTGTAGGAGAATGTGTCCTAAATTTCAGTTAGTTTATCTTGGTGGACGATACTAGACAACTGAACAGTGACAGCTGTGTTTGCTGCAGCTTTAGTGAGATTAGTCAGATTTGCATATGAAATTAGAACCTGGAGTGAAGAACTAAAAGCCTGCCAGTGGTGACCATAACTGTGTCCAGGATTGTTGTTTTTGTTTTTTTCAGAGGACGTGGTGGTGCATGGAGGACAGATGCTATGCCTAGTGTCACTCTCGACTCTCCCTGTCCTCATTCAGCCTCTTACTAAGACATGCACATCTGTCTCTTTGCAGACACCCATTGTAATGGTACATTAAATTACTCTGATGATGTCCAATTCGTGCTATTTATACAGTTTAACCAACCAGATATTTTACTGATCCTAAAATAACTTACAGTTATTAGCCAAACCCAGCAATGGCCCAATTTACATAGAAACAACGTTGGGATTTCTGTCAAATTACCAATCTAAGATCCGACTTTTCATTTTAGAGAATGAATTCAGTCTTAAACTACGTTTGTGGCTCTGGTCCCTGTTGTCAGAAACCAGAGGAAAAAAACATTTGTGTGTCACCATAAGTCCTGATAAGAGACAATTTCAATGAGTGAGAAAAGGAGAAGAGAAAAGGTGGCATTGGCTGAGCAGAGTGTTGTTCATAGCTGCATTTACCATCAGTCTGCCACCAATACTGACTGGAACTGTGTACACAAACCCAGGGGCCAGCGCTGTGACGCCGGTGACAGTCTGAATTACCACTCATGCCATAATCCTGTACAGTCTGATGGACACTGGATGGATGTTTTGATTGAGTAGTCAAATTCATGTAGTGACAGAGCAATATTTATTAATGTCATTGATCCAATTTGCAAATGTGATGAGAGACATGTAGAGAGATGAGTGAATGCTCTGTTGCCACACGGTCATAATCACTTGTGTCAAACCTTTTAGGAGCCTGTCATCACAAAACTGGTTCAAAACTTAATTATAAAAAACAAAACTACTTCTGAATTCAAACAGTCAAGAACTACATAAACATTTAGTTTATATCCCGTCCAGGTTTGAGTAACAAGTCTAGGTTGACCAGAGATTTAATAAATAAATAACTAATGTCTTAAGACATTTTATTCCAAAGCTCACAACATTTTCAAAAAGCAATCTTCTTTAGTTTAAGATTATTCAGAAACAGGTTACCTGAAGACAGGTAGGTAAGAAGTTACAAATGACCTTATTTGATTAGCTGATGGATCCAGAGATCTCCTGGAGGATTTCAGCAGCCAGTGGAGCCACATCAACATGAGACCTGGGACAGAGAAAAACATTTCGTTATTCACCATATCACAATGATGTTATTTACCCAATGACATAAAAAAACAACAATGTCATTTGATGTACATATATCAACTCTGACTAATTTTCTCAAGTAAAATCACAAACCAATATTCTGAATATGTGATTCAAGGTTGTGTAATGCTGGCCAAACCGCCTACTTGTAAATTAAGAAATGGTTCAGTATTGTGCAAACTGAGATAGATATCACCTTAATTTTACCATCAGTATTTATTGGAATATGATCTCACCATGCAAGTGTAAACTTGACTATAAAAAACACACTTTATGGGTTTTTTTTTATAAGAGTTATAGGAGTTTTTTTTTACAGTCACAGTTTCCATGCACACTGTGATGCAGTGTGCATGGAAACTGTGACTCCAACAGTGATTCCAATTTTGTAATCTTTGGGTGTATCAATACAACAAAGATCTCTTCTAATTATTTCGATATTACCACTTCAAAAAAGCCTTGTGGCTTACTGAGGAATGCCTGTAAATGAGTCAGATACTGGAGAGCAGGCACGAGGGTGGGGAGTGGGTAGGGTTGATGCAAACTGCTTAAGGTATGTTGTTAGGGGAAACTAACTGTTGAAAATGACAATAAAATGAATCAAGGTCATTTCTGAGTGCAGCAGAAGACAGCACTGTAGCAGGTGTGTTCAGGTGGGTTATGTTGCCGAGTGGAATGAACGAATAAAGGCCGTGCAGAGCGCTGCAGTCACTGCTGCTACACTAGTCTACAGTCTGGTCTTTTTTCAGTGGTCTTCAGTGGTCCAGGGATACTATTTATGTTGTTGCCTTGAAATTATGACTATGGCTATAGTTGTGTATTACATGTCATATCTGTAAATATCTGTATTATAATTTTTTGTTATACTTGATCTTGCATAGGTATAATTTTTATTACTTCTACTCTGCCATATGGCATATTTGTTATGGTTTACTACATAATACTTTGACAACAGTCAGACCCCTACGGGCTGTCTGTAATCTAACTCCTTCTGTCCTCTCCTACCTCTCCCTCCCTCCCTCCCTCCCTCTCTTATCTCCCTCCTCTCTCCCTCTTCCCCTCTTCTCTTCCTCCCAGGTGTCTTTGAGGGCATCCAGGCCAGCACAAGCTCTCCCACCCCCCTTAGTTAATTAAAACCTATATAATTAACCTAATTAACAAAGCTCCCAGAGGCCTCGGAAATCCTTGAAAGTTTGTGGATTTGGAAAACATAAATTGGATCCATAAAAGTTTTAGCACAAACTTTAGAGTTTGGTTACTCATTAAATCCCTGTACTTTCACAGTCCCAAACTGACACTGAGCAGCTGCATGGAGGACAGCGGAAAATCAAACAGTTGGTTTTAGATTACAGCACATTAGCCTCACACTCCGCTTACACCCACACTTGGGTTGTTTGCTGAGTGGAATCTGTGTGTTTTCCACATTTGAGATAAAGCAAAAGAACTAAAAGCAGAAAACGAGCATGTTAACCACTCTGTCTGTTGAAAGAATTTTTGAAATTCGTCATTTCAATGGATTCTTCACAGGAATACAGTAGATTAGTTAATTCACTGTGAGATTTCCCCAGTGGATTTATCTCCCCTAACAACATGGTCTAAATATTAAGCAGTCGTGAGATTTACCTTTGTGAGAAGTGAGCTATTCCCTAAACCAGTGGTATCCAACCATTTTCTGTCTTTTCTGTCTCTATCTCTTCTCATGTTTTACATTTTAGAGTCATATAAAAGTGGATAATGTGACAATAATTTCTTCATGAGTCATAGTGATCCTGCAACTGTTTATTTCAATAGGTTTGCCCAAGTTTGCATTTATATGTCTTCTACCACATGCAATGGAAAAATATTTTTCACACACTTTCACTTTCTTTTGTTTTACTCCCTGGAGTCCAGGTACCCCTGGTTGAGAATCATTGCCCTTAACAATGGGGAGAAATATTAGAGATATTTTTAATATTACAGACCTGCTGTGCTGTTGTTAGGTAACACCAGGCAGATTTTTTTTTTTTACAGTACAGTTTAAGGATATATTTTCTATGCATGCTAAATTGTGACTGGATTCAAACTTTCAGAGTGTTTGCAGAGTAGTTTTGTAGTTTTCTGAGCAGATATTTGTGGTCTGCACTACTGATGGCTTCATATTTGACTGACCTTCACAATAAACTAAGGACCCCTCCATCACACACACATTCACACACAAACACACTCAGTCAGGCTTGAGGTTTTGAAAAAGCATTCCTCAGGTTGCCATGGTAAAGGCTGAATGACATCATTTGGGTTAGGATCTCAGCCCAGACCTCCCCTCTCCTTTCCACTTTCTTCCATCTCCTCTCTGTGCCCCACCTCCTCTCATCCTCTCAATTAAAACCCCTCCTCCCCCCCCCCCCTTGCTCTCCTCTTCTCTCCCCTCATAACTCCTCTCATCTCCTGCCCTTTCTCCTAAAACCTCTGCCTCCCTCCTCCCCTCCTCCTACCACTAAACCAGTGGGAGTGTGCCAGTCTCAGCTACTTCAAAGCTAGAGCTGATCTCTGCTTTCATCTGCCAGAGAGGGAGAGGAGAGAGAGGAGACGAGGGGAGAGGAGAAGTGGGAGAGGGAAAGCACGAGAGAAAAAGAGATGGAAAAGAAAGAAAATGAGGAGAATAGAAAGAAAATGGAGGGGGGGGGGAGAGGAGGAGAAATGGGTATAGAGGGTGACAAAAAGGGAAGAAAAGGGGTGACCGAGGAGAAAAGAGGGGGAGAGGGAGGGGAGCGTAGGAGAGGCCTCTATAGCAGGACAACAATACACCTTTATTATTGATCTGACAGGATGTGTGTGTGTGATTGAGAGACAGAATTTGTATATAGAAAGGGGTGAAAGCAACTATTTGTGTGTGTGTGTGTGCGTGCGTGTGTATGCACTAAGTGTGTGTGTGAGTGTGTGTGTGTGTGTGTGTGTGTGTGTGTGTGTGTGTAAGAGAGAGAGAGAGATAGGTCGCTGGTCTCATACATCAAATGATCAAAGAGAGCATGGTCGCTACGGTGACAAAACCCTTGGCTCAAAGAGGGAACACACATTCGGCCCACATACTCATAAAAGGTATCCAGATGTAGAGATACAGGTGTGTGCGTGCACACAGTTTTTTTTTTTTTTTTTTTTTTTGGTTGTTTGTTTTCTTCCTCTAACAATTTAAAATATCTTATACATGTTAATCTAAGAAAGGCAAAAGATAGACTGAACAGTTGGTGGCCTGTTTCTGGCACACCTCTAAAGAATGTGCTTCTAAATTACAATTACATTACAAAGCTCACAGCTCAGTGAAATGAAATGGACATGGGTCTGAGATGTCACTGCCTTTATTGCACCCTCCAGCTTTTAAATCTCACTTACAATGTTAAAAACACAGCGACAGCTGTTTGATAATTAGGAGTAGAGAGGACATCAAAGTTATCGCATAAAATGAGAAAGTAAAATCTCTTTCCTCCAAATCTGATGAATTTGTGTTTATTTAATAAAGTATATTTCACATTTTTTTCACATGGTTTCAATGTAGAGTAAGACTGATTAACAATGAGGTTAGTCTAAGTATGTGCAGGTGTTTTTTTCCTCCCTTTTTTTTTGCTTGTGTTAATTGCTACATGATTGAAAGTGATTATTACTTGCAATTAATTATTAAGGAGAGAGCCGAAGCTGTGTGTACAGTTTTTGTGGCTCAGATTGTGTTGATCTTGATTTTGAGTTTCCATCATCTTAGCAGTCACCACACAAACCTTGCAATTTCAAGACTCACACTTTTTAAGAAGGAAGCTGTTACTTTTTCAGGTGTGTGGGGGAGATGCAAGTCATGTTTCCTGCCACTGACATGAGATCTCAAGAGGCTCCCAAACAAAAATGAAGTCTTGTTTTTAATAAATGTATATATTTAATCTCTCAGTTCTTTGTGAGCCATTAAGCTGACAAGGTGCCATGTCAGAAACTCACATCCTTTCAATTAACAACTAGTTTTGACATGTGTAATGCACGGACATGTTCACACATGCATAAAAATAATAAGATGAGGAAAAGAGCTGGAGGAGACATATCTAAATCCAGAATGATTTGTTATTGGCATCCTTTGAGGTACCAATACCAGATGTACTGACATGCACACACACTATAGACAGAAATGAGTGCCTTATATGGACAGACACATATTGTATACACACACAGGCCAAACACAGTTGTACACCCTTACCATCTAAAAAGTCTTGTTTAGCCACAGATTAATGATTTTGTCTGTCATCTATGCAAAACGTCTGTTATATCAAAATGAAGTGGAAGGAATATTTCCTAGTTAATATTTTTGATGACACATAGAAACATAGACATATACACACTTAAACAGTAGAAACACACACCTGTTGGGCGTAGCTATATCCTGCAGTAGACTTGCTAGCTCCACCCCTTCAGGACATTCTAACCAATCAGATCTTTCTGTAGTCTGCACCTAAAGAAAGAGGGAGAGGAAGAGCAAAGTGAGATAGTGAAGGAGAAAGAAGATATGGTCTGAAGTTAAATGGTAGCAGTTTGTACTCAACAAAGGCTGTGATCACACAGGTCTGATGAAGGTAATATGCTGAGCAGGGTGATCATGACTTGTATGAGAACATCACTACACACAAGTGTGAAAATTCACACAGTCAAAGCTAAAGAAAAGTGAACTCTGACCTGAATGTCTGCAAAGGTCAACTAAAATTCACTCCAACGCAGGAGACACACAGAATACTTGTTTTTTTTTTTTACTTTTTGTTTAAAACAGGTTGTTTATCCAGTTTAGTGATACTGGCTAAAGAAGCAAAAGGTCAATATTGCTTATGAATCCCCAACAAGCTAGCATTAGTCATCCTGTTACAATTGAGAAAACCCTTCCCCTCAGTAATACAGAAAGGTGCAGCATAACTTTGTATGGTGTCATGTTCCCAAGCCTTATATATACAACTGATAAAACTGTCTATCAGTGATGTTTGTCATTGTCATCTCTGAAGAATTCTTAGTCTTTTAACAGCGCCACTCAGACATCTTGTGGACCACCACATTATAAGAACCACCGGTCCGTGTTATCATCACAGAGTCATTGTGCATGTTACCACGACCAACTGCCGAGTAACATCACTCATTTGTCAATGCAATTTCAAAGTAAATTGATCAAAGGGCTAATGTGCCAAAAATCCAATTGAATGCACAAACACACACATACATATCTACCCTGAGTGTGATACAGTGTGATCTCTTTTTTTCTTTTTCTTCAAAATGTCCTTTTGACCCTTAGGCTCTTTATCAATTTTTAACAACCTAGTCCAACCTTGATGATCAACCTTGTTGATCCATGACTGTATTCCATGATTTTGCTGCTGAACTTGTTCGATCTGGACGAGACTCTCAGCTAAAGAGTACTCTGCTCTCTTCCTTCACTGAATCTCCTTCCTACATCATTTATTTCTTCTCTTTGTCATCCCTCTGAATTTATTCCTGTCTTGACATGTCTCTCCACACCATGATGTCTAGGCTACACACCCACCCTGAACACCTGGTCCTCAGACTGCTCTGTGTGTGTGTGTGTGTGTGTGTGTGTGTGTGTGTGTGTGTGTGTGTGTGTGTGTGTGTGTGTGTGTGTGTGTGTGTGTGTGTGTGTGTGTGTGTGTGTGATGGTCCTCACTTTAAAAAGGGGCAATAACAAAGTTTACACTGAAGGCCGAGTTTAAGTCTGAGTTAAGGTGTGATGTCACAGTGGCAGTTTAACTTGTGGAAGAAATTAATACTTAGAAAAAATAAAATCTGTATGTTTCTGTAAACATTGTTCAAAGTGTGTATGTGTGTGTGTGTGCGTGCGTGCGTGTGTGTGTGTGTGTGCGCGTGTGTGTGTGTGTGTGTGTGTTAGTGAATATTTATGTGAGCATGTGCATGCATGCATGTGTGTCTGAGTGGATGTGTGTCCATGTGTTTGGTGAAGTGTTCTCTCTGATCTCCGGTGACATCATCACCTCTGTCGCTGTGGCGACACAGCATGGTTGTTGCTAGGCAACGGGGTTAGGAGGAGACAAAGATGCTCCCCTCACTTGCTTACTTTTCTCGCAAGCACACACACACGCATGCACACAAACATAAGCGTCTCTGTCAGGGTGAGGGAACATTCATGTGTGCCTGCCAACCAACCACTAAACACACACACACAACCCATCTCTGCTCTACACCTCTTCTTCGTCCTCTCCTTCTACCATCTCTTTCCCCATCTGTACCTGACCAACACCCTGACTCTATAATACTGGACTCAAATTCAGATGAGACAGAGAGACAGTACAGGACAGGCAGACAGTCAGACAAGCTGCCTCTCAGAAAGACAGCACAGGGCTGTCATAATAGATATTAAGTTCAAACAAGTGACAATGTACCTGACAGCAGAGAGAGAGAGTAGTACATTTGCCAGAATAACACACAGTATCATGTATGAATAGGACCGTGTGTGTGTGTGTGTGTGTGTGTGTGTGTGTTTGAGAGAGAGAGAGAGAGAGAGAGAGAGAAAGAATGAATGAAGAGAGGGAGATTATGAAGGAATGATCATATGTTTTATAGATCATACTAAGAAAAAAGTGATTGCTACCCACTGCTGTTGTAAAGGTGGAGTTCTTGTATTTATCAGCATTGGAGATTGGAGCACAATCTGAAGTCAATTTCATGTCCTGTGCAGTTTGTCTCAGTGTCCATGAATATATTTTTATGATTTTTATCTTATATGGCTTGATAAATAGTCCTGACACCATACAGTCAAGTTTGATTACAGTGCGTCACACCATGGACATTATGACCCACAATTTTCCTTATTTCTTCACCTCATTTGTCTCAAACTTGAAGGATAAGACCACCCTGCCTGATACTTTTTTATTCCGTCTTGTTAAACTTTTGGTGCAGATGTCACTGGTCTACATTTCTAAACTTTTCTTGCTGTAATACTTAGTCAGGTGTAGTGAAAATGCCTTGAGGAAACTGGAAACATGTTGAACTGTGCTGTGTTTCTTTAGTTCAATTCATGCCACCTATAGAGACTTGGCATAAAAATAAATAGTCCAGGGAGTTTGATTGTGCACTTGGTCAGGCAGGAAGCTCTACAAATTAGGGACTGATGGATCAATAAATAAATGTACATGTTTCTGGCTCAAACATGGCAAAGGTCCCAATAACTGAACATAATAGGCTTTGACATTTTTGAGACTGCCTATGGAGATGAGAGAGGTGAATAAAAGAGTGAGATTAACAAGCAGTGAAAAGAAAACACAGGACGACATCAATAACAGCATCCTGCCTTCCCTCACAGATCCAGCTTTGTCACATAGAGTGAACACAATTTATACAAAAATACGAGAATAATAAACATTACTTCTAGTTAACATGTATGAAATGGACTTGAGGAAGACATGAATTGTGCAGACATATTAAGGGACCAATCACTGAACATACCAAATTCAGTGTTCCTAGAGGCAGACTATAAAGTTTAAAAACATTTTACACTGACAAATCAAACTGCTTTAAAAGAAATAATAAATGCCTCTTTCTCTAACAACGTCTTCTGAATCCTTTTTCATTAAATTAGCATTCCCCTTTAAGTCCTACCAAGTTGTGACTGAAAAATAGACAAAAATTTCACTAATTCACTCTTGATTCATTCTCCCTCTCTCCTCCCTGGCAGTTTCCAAGCTATGAGCGGGATCTTTGATTGAGATTAACAGAACCCTGAAATCAATGAAAGATAATTAAAAAGCCTTTGTTGAAGGGCAGGCACTTGTCTGTGTGTAGGTGTGTGTTTGAGAGAGAATATGTGAGTCACTGTGTTTCTCTGATGGTATAGATGTGGAAAACTGTGTTGTGAGGATAAAGAATGTCTGTTGAACTCTTTTAAAGCTGCACATTGCTCTCTGCCAACTGACTGGATGATAATGAGATTCAAGAAAACCCAATTTAGAAAATGGTTATAAGATATTTTTGTTTTTTTTAAGTTTAGCTACTGAATTACAATAGAAAGAAGTGCAAGGCGGGAGTATTGTAACAGTACTCTGAGGGAGAGTAAAACTATAACAGTTAACTCTTTTAAAATAACTAATGTGTAATGACTACATGCGTGGAAAAGTAGATGGATATTTTTCTGAGAGCAAATAAATTAGTTCCTAGCACTGTGCTGCTTAGTGACTCATCCACTAGCTACGAGGAAATGGCTGAAACATACACACAGTTTTATGTGTGTGTTGCTCTGGGTGGTGAGCAGGATAGAGAATACACACCTCGATGTTACTGTAGCTGTTCGCACAGTGGTAATGAGGGAGTCTGCACGAGGACAAATTCGTTACAACAGACAGACAGAGAAAGAGGTAAGTCTGTGAGCTTGTGTGTGACAGAGAGTTTGTGTGTGGGTGGTTCAGGTGGCTGGATCTAATTAGTGACAGGAATCAAAAATACACACACGCACTCCTGCTCACACACGCAAACTCTCTCTCTCTCCCACATACACTCACAACTACAAATATTAGGAAGCTTCCAGGCACAGCCTTCAGTCAGATCATATGATCTCAGGCTGACAGCTCACCTTCTGTCCCACGTACAGAAACTATTTCATGACCCTGCGGCCAAGCCCAAACATTAGGAGTACATTTTACATAATTCATGAGGGTCTACAGCAGAATCAGGCAATTTTTAAAACTTGGTCATGTTGACTTTTGAGAAGTATTTTCACTGTCCAGTCCAAGCCTGCCGTTCTGCAAAGCTCTGGATTACATGTGTACGGGCTACATTTTTAAACATCCAACAGACCTTTTTAAATTGCTTATTCCTGATGAATCTGTGACATGACTAGTTAAGTATGGTTAAGTTTACTTGTTTAAGGTCACAGAAATGCTGCCATCATGGTTTAAAAAAAATAATCAATAGTTGGCCTGAGATAGGATGCAAACTTTGGTGTCAAAGTAAAATACTTACTTGTCCGGTTGGTACAGAAACAGCATACTGCTTACTGCATTGCCACTGAGTATTAGCGCTGGGTGTGAATCTTGTACTGTATTTTCCTATATGAATTTATTTCCTTGAAAAGCTAAGCTACAGAAAATATACTCCAAACTTGTAGTTTGAGTGACTTCCCAATGGGCTACATGTGTGGCAGCTCGATATTTTACTGGCAGTTAAGTTAACTTTTTCGTTGGCTTTTTAATTTAAGAGCTGAATTGCTACAGCCTAATTTTAGTGTGCTTTGTGTCTATCAGCACAAGAATTTGCCTCCTTGTTAAAACCTGCCTAATTCTAGTGAAAACTGGCTTCAGCTGCATCAGTCTCCCCATGTGACCAGAGTGAGATAATATTATTTATCATGTTTGGGAAGTAGAAGCCTCACTAAATCTCCACCTGCTTTACTGCAGTATACTCTACAAGTCAGCCGTCTTTGGCCTGTATTACAAATCATTTTGACTATCAGACAAAATTGGACAGACACTCGAACAGAGAGTGACAGGCAGATACAAACCAACACTTTTTCTCCCCCTCTGTCTTGCTCCCTCTGTCAGTCAAGTTTTGGTAAAACTACACTCAATTTTCAGAACAGCAGCACAGCAGGGCTGGCTCTGTGTGTGTGTGTGTGTGTGTGTGTGTGTGTGTGTGTGTGTGTGTGTGTGTCTGTACTGAGTATGTTTTTATTATTCCAATATTTTTATTCTGCAGTGGTGGCAGTTAATATTTCAACCCCCAAAATACAAACAAACACAGGGCCAAGGTTCCTCAGTCATACTGAGCTATTCAAACATGTTTCAGTGCCGCGTTATTACCAGTACTGGCATCTGAAGAAGGGACACACATGGAACACAAATTGATATCTGATAAAATTTCATACAAGTAATGTTGACATGTATGTGAAACTTTGCTTAGATGTTGGTCTGTTTCTGACTGTGTGTGTCTGCCCACGTAGGCACTGTACTCACCAGTCGTTTGATGATCCTAAGGGTGGTGCGCTGTATTCGGGGGGTCTCGGCATGCCGGTATGTACGCAGCACATGTGAGAAACTTTGCAAGCAAGAGGGTGACAGACAGTCATGGCCCTGTCCGCCATACAGCTGGACCAATAGGGACAGACACTGAATAGACTCCTCCCACACCTCCTGGTTTTCAGTGGACAGCTACAAAGAAAGAAAATCAGTTAACAAATCAAAAGATAAAATGACCCCTGTTTCTATTTATATTACTGTGATTTGGTCCATGGGCTGAAATAAAGTGATTTAATTCTCCTTCCTCAAGGTTTACTTACTGTGCATACCATAAATACAATATTTGAAATAGAAATTTGAAATGACAAACAATTGAGCCACATTTTCACACACACAAGTTCTATTAAAGCACACAACCTCATATTAGCATTTTATTTAAATCAATGATTTAAGCCACTACATGCACAATTTATAATTTATAATCAATAGAAACCAGAGGTTGTTTACTGTACTGTATTTGGATATATTTATTAATTTGGAGGCCATATCAAGTAAATATCAAAACATGTTACAGGCAAGCATCCAGGATCAATGTTCCCTTTACACCAAGTGCATCAGAACAAGATTACGGTCCATAACTGACCCACTGTCAAAATATTTACTGCACTGAGGAAATCATAATACTTTACCATGTGTCAATAATTGGCCCACTGCTCTTCAGAACTGCATGCTTTTAACAAAAGCAAGTTTTGCAGCTTTAATGATATTAGATGCAGGGATCATATTGACACTCCGCTCTCTCTATCCTACTAATACCCCATGGAGCAAAGGGGTTGTGCTGAGGCCGGGGGTGTGTCAGCTGCCCCCTTAACCTTCTCATCCACAACCAGGGACAGACACACACACACACACAAACACACACGCATGCACGCACGCACGCACGCGCACACACACACACACACGCACACACACACACACACACACACACACACACACACACACACACACACACACACACACACACACACACACGCACACACACACACACAGACACTCAATGTGTCAAGTATACGTAAAAACCTCTATTGTGTCCCTTGAGATGCCCTCTTCTCCTCCTCCCAGCCCACCCTCTCCTTTACATCCTCAACTTCCCAGGATGCCTCACAGCTCCTACTCTCTTTTGAATGGATTCTCTCCATTTTTGCATGTAATTTCTTCGTCTCTTCCACTCTTTACCTTGTCTTGTCCAACTCTTATTATATTCATTTATTCACCTAAGCCACTGTTTTTTTAGAAAAGTTTATAAATCATGTTTAAGTAAGGAAAGTTGCAGAGGGCAAGAAACAAAGACCAGTGTTCATTAATTAAGTGAATTAGATTTTAACTCTTATATTGTAGTACTTCAATCATAATTCTAAGATTCTGAGTGCAGATAGAGGAAGCTATTTTGCATCAAATTGTTGTTTAATGTCCAATTTTAAGTGATTATTTAATCCTCAGTAATGTGTATACTGCCAGAAGGTGTGGATGTTTGAATAGCTACTGCGATAACATCTTCCCCTTTTCTCTTAGCAGAAAGGCCAAGATTGTACCTACTCTTATCTTCCAGCTTTTCAGATTGCATCAGGTTCTGTGTTGTCCACAACATCTACAGGTTGTAACAGTACTTGCACATATAACCCTGCACATTTCTGGGATTAATAATTGAAACAACTGTAGAATAATTACTTCAGTACACTAAGATAATCATCTGTATTGAATAGAAAGGTCATGTGCAAGGCACATACTGTATTTATGTAACATTCTTGCACTATAATCACATGTGACATAATCAATACATTTGGAAAAAACTATATAACTTGAACAAATTAGATGAAGGAATTAGTGGACACAGAGTCTGTGCATGAAAGTGCATATAAAGCATTTTATTTGTCTCTTGAAAAATAATATCTTCACAGAGATATACACACTTTTTCAGAAGATATCTAATTAAGGAAGAACTTTTAACTAAATAGTTTTGGTGTTTACAGTGCAATCAGACATGGGAGTAAGTTTGAGGGATGACATATTTAATGAAATGTTTAATAGTGGCAGATGGTTTTACTGCTCTTAATAGATTCATCTGGTTTGGGTTTTGTTGCTCCCTCATGAAATCACTGTTTTACCTTTAGATGGAAAAGTTATTTTAGATGTCCTGGATCCAAGCAACAAAACAGAACTAAAATGGAGATCAAACTGGTGTGTTATGAGCATTTCAAACTTATCTGTGGAACCAACTGTGAAATGATAAGGCTTATAAACTCACTAAGGTTATGCACACTTATAGATTTATGGTGGAAGTGACTTTGGTGGACATTAGCAATTGGTGAAAAGTTACATACGGTGTCACTTTCAATCAGTTGACTTAAACAAGGAGATCTTTATCTTGCATGAGTACTTATATATTTTAGTTGTATCACTGGCCAGTTCAAGTTTTACTCACGTGTAGAAATCATAACCAGAGACTTATTCCTACAACAACTTGGGAAAACACATAACTAGACAAATAGGCATGTTTTCTCTTTCTGTATCTGTATCTCTCTTTCTCTCACACACACACACACACACACACACACACAGGCTCTGTGAGTGTTGGTCTCACCATGTGAATGAGGTGTGTGCTGAGTTGGCTCAGGGGTCTGTTGGCTAGGAGCAGCTTCTCTGCTGCCTCCATCTCTACTGCTGGACAAGATAGCCTCTGGCTCTATACAAACACACACACACACACACAGACACACACACACACAGACACACACAGACGCGCACACACACACACACACAGACGCGCACACACACACACACACAGACACGCGCTCACACACACACACACACACACACACACACAGACACACACACACACAGACACACACACACACAGACACACACAGACGCGCACACACACACACACACAGACACGCGCTCACACACACACACACACACACACACACACACGTTAAATCATTTATAGAGATTTGACAGTCAATAATGATGGATCCGGAGACCTGCCAAGACACATTCTGACAGACTGAGACAGACACAGAAAGACACACTGATAGACTAAGGCAGGAAGTAGTTTTCCTGCATATGCTGTTATTTTAACCCCTCTTGAGCACAGGATGTGTTCAGTTTATTTATTTAATGTATTTATGTAATTTGTCACATCAAGTTATTTTTGTATTTCATTAAGACTTCAGTCCTCTCACGTCATCCTTTTTTTCCTTACACCACCCTCCCACTCCCCCTTTAGCACCTCTGTCCCTCACTTTGCCTTATTTTAGTTCAGTTCATGCCTACAGTGGAACTTCAGGCCAATTAGTGGTGGAATAATGTGATTAATATTGGCACACATTTTCTCTCTCCCCCAAAGTCACTTGTCCTCTGTTATGCTCTCTCTCTCTCTTTCTCTTTTTTCTGAAGTATATATAATCTCTGACTCTCTCTCTTGACCAACAGAGTAATAGTTTGGGGAAAGCGGTCTAGTCACGTCCTCTCTCCTTATCAGACCTTATTACCCAAATGAATTTGGTTTGGGAAGAAGTTTTCTTTTTAATGAGCTTTGCATTTCTCACAGAATTGATTTCCGCTGCACAGTCTGCTTGCTCCCTTTTCCATCTCTGTCTCTCCTTCTATCTCTCCATCCTCCCCTCTCCCTCTTCTGTCCGTCTCCATCCAGTCTTTTACCCTGCCTCCCCTTTAGTCCCCCTCCCTCAACTAAGCATTAATATGTATGCGTTGGGCTGGGGTGCACACTATGGGGAGATGGGGGCTGGTGTGTGTATGTGAGCATATGTGAGTGTGTGTGCATCTGTGTGTGGGGAGGCAAACTGAGGACAAAGCCAGTGGTGATAATGAGGCCGCAGGGACATAGCCAGACAGGCCCCTCTGCGTACGGCGTGCGTGTGAGTGTGTGTGTGTTTGTCCCGGTGACTTGGGACCTCATCCGCTTTCTCCTGAGTCCACAACTTCAATATTGCAGTTGCTCAAGCCTGCTAGCTTCCACTGCACACATCAATGGACACACACTCACAAACTCACACACACACACATACACACATGCCTTCAGGGACATGATACAAGGACAACATTTTTAGGGAGCTGACTTTGGGATTCTGTTGGTGATTCTGTGCTCAACAGAATGAAATTGATAAATAGTGGTCAATCAATGTGGGAGATACACCAGAATAAGGACCAATGTAACATGATACAGCAAAAAAACTGACATACAGGTACCAATCATTTAAAGAATATAAAATAAAAGAGAAGCTGTTGTGGCTCCTTTAGAATTTCTTTGCAAGTAATGTTGCCAGGCAGTCATTTTTAACAGTATAGAAAATTGTAATTATAAGTTTGTAAGGATATTGGTTAGTAACATGAAAGCATAAATCACCAAATATTGATGTCTTCTCCACAGATAAATTTGTAGATATGAATAATGCAGAGCTGAGACCACATCCACATTAACATCTAATTAATTAACATTACACTTTCTGGCCATTATGTGCCTTATCAGTGGATGAAAGGCTAGACAAGAATGCGGTAGAAAGAGGTATTTGCATTTAGTCTGTGTTTTTTTTTTTTTTTTTTTTTATGGAAGCATTCTACTGATGCTAATGGACACATGAATTTCCCCAAGGGGATAAACAAAGTATCTATCTATCTATCTATCTATGAAATTATTTTGTGCAAGTGACTGACCATAATCATAAAATCAATAATAATTTACACTACATAGCTAATAAAGTACTGAAAGATGAAACTAGAGGTTAGTTTATCAGTACATTTTCAGATCTGTTCCATGCCTCGCTGAAGGCAGCTTAGTGACCACTGTTGAAGACAGGGTAGTGAATTTATTGTTTTCATTAACTGTGTGAATGTCAATACCTTAAGTGCAGAGCGGGCAACAGCTGATGTTTGTTTCAGTGTGTTGTGAAGCAGCTCCAGAAGAGCTTGTAAGACAAGATGGCCGGTCTTCCTCATGGCATGCCCCTCTCCATCCAGATGGACTGTTACAGCTTCTGAGAGGGTTTTCACAACCACCTCTATTAGGCCTGCGCAGCAAAAAAAAGAGGTCATCATGAGAAAGCTGTGGCTGAACTACAACGTGCTGGGCTTTGTTTATGTCTGGTGAAATCAAATTCTTCATTCTACATGGCCAAATACATTAAAAACTGCACAGGAAATATCGTAACAGACCAACACGTCACATTATTAATATAAGCAACCTATTAGCAAACAACAAGAACTTGAGCTACCTGATCATCACGTAATATCAACAATAGTTCTGCTCTCATTATTGATTCATATGAGCTACCATCATAGATTGTCACCAACCAAACCAACAAACTTCTATGTTCGAAGCAACTCTGTCTGCTACATGTATGTCTGAGGTGTAAACAATAACCTGAGCCTGTGTAAATGTCTGTAACTGCAGGCTCTGGTTTGACTCCTCAGTGGATCGATAGCTCCTGTGCAAGATGAGAGACACTCTCTCTCTTCAGTCAATTAGCATTTCATTGTCACCAACTTGCCTACCAGAAAAAAAAAATAGCTGAATGTGACATTTAACTTTTTCAACAGCTGTGCAAGGTTGAATCCTTCTATGAAAAAAGTATTGACACACCTAAGTCCAAATCCACACAACAGTAACACAAGAAGCAACAACGAAGCACATCTCAATTTATATGCACATCTAAAAATAAATTCTGTTCTTCTTTTTCCCTTCCTTTTCAGCTCACTCTATCCCTCCTTAGAAACTGACCAATGTAGAACATGTTTTAAAGATACTAACCCTTGCTATGCCATGAATAAATACCACTTACTAAAGTGCAAACCCATGTTCCTTGGCTCATTAATTTTAACATGACATGGAAAATACTGCACATTTTGCAGCTCTATGTGTGTAGTTAGCTATTGTGGGCATCTGTCCCTGAAGTGTTCTCACCACACATCTGTGTAAGTGAAGACCGGATAGATTCTGGCCTGACTAGGTTGACATGACACATGCATTCAAAAAAATGTAGACTGTGCCAACATTTAGACAAGCTGAGTCCAAAGTTGTATTTCATTTCCATTCCTGCGCACCAAAAAAGTAACAGTTAAATAACAAATGAACCGAATCACTGTCTTCACTGGGGAAAGTACTGCCAGGTTATTTTCTATTCCAATAGATCTTTATTTAGAAAGTAGATGTTGTGTGCGTTTATTTTTGTGAGTGAAAGTGCAACACTGCAGACACTAGAAAGCTATTAAGCTAGACTTCTGTCAGTGAGATGTACTGTTACTTTGTCAAGCTGCCTCATAAATTAAATAAACAGACTGCCCCACTTTGGACTGTTCAGTCAAACAAAGACCTTCTTCTGTTAATGTGATCTGACAATGCAGTCCTGTTTAGAAGTAAACTGTTCTACACAGATAGTTGCTCATGTATATGTTAATAACATTATTCTTTTAATATCTGTTGAGAATAGCTGTCAGCCCTATAACATAACAACAAATCACAAATAAAAAATAAATCACAAATATCAAATCAAGAATAAAAAACAAAAACAGGACATTCTACAAATAAACTATTTAGGCTTTCCTGACATTTGAGCCATTTATTGACAAGGCATTATAGCTGCATAATTAATCAAAACTAAAATTACTTATTGATCATGATCATGTTAAATGTTTTATGCTCATATTGGGAATATACATAGTGTGTGCTTGTAACTGGTTATCATATTAGGATATAGTCTTCTATTTTCTAACTGGCAGAGTCAATGCTGAATAACCTGCTACAGTCATAATAGCACAAAACAGTCATTAGTTAATTAGTTCACTCTGTATCTATAATCTTGTGTTGCACCTCTTCAGCTGCCAGAACATTATGGTCAGTTACTGCATGTTTTGTCACTTGATTCCTCATCTTTCCTGTATTTGACCCTTTGGCCTGTTTTCTGGATTTGGGATTCTTGCTGGACTGAGATTTGGATTTGTTTGCCTATTTTGGACTGCCTTGCTGCCTTTTGACCCTGGAGTAATTCATCAACTTGTAAGCCTTTGCTTTGTTAAATAAAGTGAACTGCACTTGTCTTAGCATTTGGTATGTTTTCCCTTTGTCTTTGCATTAGTTCTGACTTTTCCACAATACACACATTCTGCCATGACTCTGTTGATATGACACATGCATTTCAATAAAAAATTAAAGCATAGTAGAATCCTTAAAAATATTCACAATGAATCCACAAAGGTCACACTACGTATAGATCAAAAGGACTACACGGAGTGAAAGGTTCTATAGAAGGCTAAGGAGCTGTGAAAAGCTGAAAAATGGAAAGGGAATTTGATGCCTAACCAACTTAATTTCCAAATGTATCCTGTGTTTTTAATTTTTTAGTTATACACTGGAAGCACTCTATGGCCCATTAAACAACTTGTCGACCTTAAAAATGGGTTGATTTTCTCATGTCGTCAATATATTTAGATCCATTCAAAGACAAAAAAAAAACACCTGATCACAGACTTAAGACACAAATCACTTAACATATTTTTCTGAACTGTGCATGTTCTTACTCATTTGACTGGATTTCACCAGTAACTTCAAACAAAATGCAGTTACATGTTGAAGCTCATTGCTATGAATAAATCAGTTAAAATCAGAAGAGACATTTATAGCCACCTCAAGAATACAAAAGGAATATGACTATGGCAACAATGTCGGCAAAGCAGAGTCTATACTGAACTGCAGATTGATGGATAGTTTTTACTATCATCTGTAACTCCTAGTCTGCTCACAGGCTGTATGAAAGCCTTTCCTCTGAGTTGCAAAAGTCATCTGAAAGTGACAGAGTGTAGGTTTTCGAACTGCAGTCTCCAATTAAAAAAATTGTGCATTTCCAAAGCACAGCACATTCATGCATTCTTGACCCACTGAGGGTACACTTAATGAGATCATGCTCAACAAGCACCAAGCTGATACAGAATAGTCACACAAACTTTAAAGAACAAATTGAACTGGTTGCTTTTAAATCCATAGTCTATACAGCTTCCCTAGTTAAACTGTGCAAATCATCAGGGGTGTGGAAGACACTGACGTCCTGGCGATGCATTGAGCACAAACAGTTCACAAAGTTCCATGAAAAATAATTTAAAGAGTAATGTGAGCAGCAAACATTGTGACCCTTTTAGCGCTGTGTCTTTGCAAACATAACACAACTATGGCTCTGGTCAGGACGACTGGATGACTACATGGTTAAAATAGGGACCCACATTTATTACCATTCTAGATTTATTATACATTACAACAACCACTGTTATTTTTTTCAGAAGAAATATCATAAGAGTACGCACACTACACAGGCTTTTACTGTAGATATCTTTTGCAGGTACATATAAAATGTTTATGGTGTCATGGCAGAGCACCCAGTATGAGATCTCTGCATGTGTGTGAATGTATGTTTGTACTCAAAGTAATGATGCTGCTTTCACTGACAGGTATGGGTGCATATGCATCTCCAGATTGTCTGTGTGTATTTGTATGGTGAGGACAACAGCTTAATTAAGTAAATATTAACAAGTCAATTTTAAACATGTCACATTTGTACAAATGATACTTGCTTATTATAAGGCTAGGGGAATAATCTATGAGTGAAAACCATTGTGGTCTGTCCTATTTTGGAGTTTGGACTTTAACGAGGTTAAAAATAGACATTCCACAATGCTTTGCAATATTATCTATTTATACACCACTGTAAAATGAGTTCTACAGGGAATCAACAGGATGAATGGCTCAGATCATTACTGTCAAAGCTAAGTAGGAAAGTTTTCTGGGGAGAGAAAAACCGCCACTAAACTGATTACATGTAATTAATGGATAATGTTTCAGCTGATTTAAATAAAGTTCAATTAAAGTATGTAGATGGTTTTAATAATGTGATTTTCCCCATTAATGAATGTTAACATACTGTACAGTGGCTTCAGAAAGTTTTCACAGCCCTTCATTTTTTTGAATACTTGATTGTGTGTTATTGTGTTGTACATTTAATTGCATAAAATTGCCATTTACCCATCAATCTACACTCATTAGCCCATAATGACAAAGTGAAAACTGATTGTACAATTTGTTGTAAATTTATTAAAAATTGAAAACTGAAAACTCTCATTTACAAAAGTATCCAGACTTAATTCAGTACTTTGTAGAAGCCCCTTTGGCTGCAATTACAGCTTTGAGTCTTCTTGGGTAAAGATCTGCACACCTGGATTTGGACAGTTTATCCCATTCTTCCTGGCAGATTCTCTCAAACTCCATCTGATTGGATGGGAAGCATCTGTGAACTGTCATTTTCAGGTCTCTCCACAGATGTTCTATGGGGTTTAAGCCTGGGCTTTGGTTGGGCCACTCAAGGACAGTCCAGCATTGTCATGGCCAAACCTATTCTATTTCAAAATGATTGAGACCTCTGTCCTCCTGGAACACTCAAAACTTTAGCACCCTGGCCCTGATCCATGCCTCACCACAATTTTATCACAGTGGTCTACAGAGAGTTCCTTGGACTTGGTTTTTGATGGTTTGGTTTTTGTCCTGATACTAAATGTGAACTGTGGGACCTTATGCACACAGGCCTCTGCCTTTGTAAACTATGTCCAATCAATTCAGTTTGCCACAGGTGGACTTTAGTCAAGTTCTAGAAACATCTCAAGGATAATTAAAGCAAAGAGGATGCACCTGACCACACTTTAGAGTACCACAAAAAATGGTCTAAATACCTGACATTGTAAACAGGATTTCACTTTGTCGTTATGAATTAGAGTGTAGATTGATCACAATTTTATCTGTTTAAAATAAAAAAAAAACAACATAATAAAGTACACAAAATGAACGAATCTGAATATTTTCTGAAGCCACTATACAGTATGTTAACATTAATTAATGGAGAATATTCACCTTTTAGGAACCATTCACATACTTCAATTGAACTTTATTTAAATAAAGTGAAATATTATCCATTAATTACATGTAATCAGTTTTGTCAAATTGTGCATGCTTGATGTACTCACTGAATAGTTTTATTCTCCATGTTGATGTGATCCTACAGGCCTATGCCTTTCCCTGATGAGTCCTAGGCCTTATACAGGCTTTAACTGATTTCGTGTTAACTCTTTTATTAATTTCAATAATTAATAGAGAACATAAGCAGCCACTACTATTCAACTTAGTATTAAGCATTCATGCATTGGTCAAGAAAAATACCTGATTGAATCCACAAGAGCTACTATTCTACTAAAACTCTTCTAAAAGATATATCGAAAATAGACTTCATACATCTGACTAAGTTTAGGCAACTAAAACTATCATCACATTGTCACATATTATCATAATGTAAATACTGATATGTTAAAAATTCTTATTCACGTTGCGATGTTGTTCTTTGTAAACTAAATATTAGGTTATAAATCTAGTCTAATGAATCTAAGAACAACATAAACTTGAGACACACTATAATATATCTCATGTCAAAAGTGTCTTATTGAGTGTCATTATGTTATAATATAACTGTCAATTCAGTAACCTCTTGGGTGCTTTCTAATATAAAAACATTAATATGGAAGATCTTAGTGGTATAAATTATGCCAGGGGGCATAATTATTGATTGGACACATATGGACATGGTGAGGAAGAACCATTATAGAACTTTTCAGACATCGTTTGGGGAAATAACCAAGCAAATACCCAATTTTAAATGGCAATTTATAAATGCGAGTTCCACAGAAACTAGATAACACCGGCACAGAAGCAATTACCTAAAAATTCCTCTGAGCTTCTCACAGAAGGTCAAGAGAAATAACAAGGATTGGTGACAGATCAAACCCAGTGAGGAACCTCAAAGACCTTCAAGGATTCTGAAGACACAAAGAGCCCCAGAAGACTTTTTTAATTAATTAAAGAACAAGCACTCTTTAATTAACTGACACCTTGTCAGCACCACAGCCTAGGACCAAACTAAGGGGTTGCTTGGGATGCAAAAACATTTTGGCTGTTCTACATGCTCTGTGCCCATTTCCTTATTAAATCATGCAGTCTGCGTGTCAATGTGCCTACAAAATGAGTCTCAAATTCACTCTTAGTAGAGGAGTTCTGGGCTTCATATCCTTATATAATCAGATTACAACCTAGACTTTCTACATTAGTCTCTTCTCAAATAAAACCTGAGAAATCCACAATCAGAACTTTGTTTAGGTAGTGTCTCTTACTCCCTAATCAAGTTATTCTTCCCCTCCTGCTTCTATCAGTCCCTCTTTCAAATTGTCACTCACTTCAACCTGCAGTTTTCTTCTCTATCATTTCATCCCTCTCATCCATATGCACCACATTTTCTCTCTCTCTCTGTCTCATTGTTCCTCTCTGTCCCCTCTCTGCTACCCTTTTTACCCCCCATTTTGCTTTCCTTCTTCTCCCTCATGCCTTTTTTGCCATCTTCTTTTTCTTTATGTTGTTCTGTTCTTCCTCCCTATCTCTGACTCTCTCTCTTTGCTCCCTCTGTCTTTAGTCCCCAGGGGGTATTATCTCAGTCAGAGGCAAATCTGCCCAATTATAAACCTCATCTCCTCTCTCTCTCTTACACACACAAACTGGGTGCTCCTGCATACACCCCCCCCCACACACACACGCAAACGCACGCGCACACCGCACACACACACACCACATCTCCTCTCTGTCTCATATATACACACAAGCATGAGCACAAACACATTCACAACGAGCACAAAAAACCCACCTCCCTATTTTGCGCTTCCTCCCTGTCTATTTCATTGCTTCCCAAAACACACATTCACACACACACCACTCTTCCCCTCCTCTTTCTGTCACACCTTAAAAAGCCAATTATACACGCTTTCTCCCTTCTCCTCTTCTCTCCCTCTCCCTTCTTTCTTGCCATCACCACACTGATCTGGAGTGAACCACAACGAAAAGAAGGGAGAAAGAGGAGAAGAGGAGATAGGAAAGGAGCCCAAAATAGAGGATAGGGGAGAGGGTAAAAATGGGAACAGAGGAAAAGAAGGAGAGGAAAAGATGGGAAAAACATGAGTTGAGTAGTTTGGAAAAGTGGATAGTAGGAGATGGGAAAAATGAGGGATAAGAGTAGGGTAAGAGAGGAGAGGAGAGGGAGATAGCGTTAATTGCCCGGCCAGTATTAGTGCTGGGTTGACAGTTTCTTGTTGAGAGGAGAGCTGATTGGACGATAATGATGCTGACTACTGAACTGCCGTACTGCTGACCCAATGGAAGTAGAGGAAGAGGAGGGGTTGATAGTGGTGGTGTTTTTGGGGGCTGGGGAGAAGGAGGTGCAGGGGAAAAGATGGACAAAATGAGACACAAAATAATGAGTGAAACACACACACACACACACACACACACACACACACACACACACACACACACACACACACACACACACACACACACACACACACACAGCAGTGTTTGTATTTCTATTCTTGTGAACATCTTTAATTTTGTGCATTCATTCTCTAATGCTAGATTTAGGCTGTGTCCCTACACGTCTAAGCTTTGTGCCTTATTATTCCTTCTTCTAATTAAAGTCAAAATCCAAAACTGTCTCTTGGGTGCGTAAATGGGCTTAAAATTATCTGACTCTCTCCAAGAGGACATAGATCACCCCCCCCCCTCTGGATGCACTGGAATCACTTGGAATAACCAAGAAATCCAAATATTTCATCATAGCCGAAAGACAAAAAACATTGCCTCTACCTCATGCAGACACGCACGTACACACACACAGCCAAGGTTGTTGACCTGAATAAGCATTATGCTGCAGCAGGACAGCAGGCTTGGGAAAACAAGATGACAACAAGTAACATTACAATAAGTAATGCTAGCAGACTGGATACACGATACAGACACACCGTGTAGTAGTGCAATACGGTCAGTGACAGATGCCTTACTAGTGTAAGACAAAGCACAAAACAAGAAAAGTCAAGAAGAATGGAATCCTGAAAGATGAGGAAAGTAACATCGTTCCTATCTCCATACATACTGTATGCAGATATACTGTACCTTGCTGATGTAGTGGCTCCAGGTCCAAGGCTGCGTCTCCACTAAGGTTACACAGCAAGGCAACTGCATTTTGGACCATCCCACTGGTAACATTACTATGATTAGCCTAGAAAAAGTTTGAGACAGAGAAAGGATAAGTAGGTTACAGGTTATCTTACAATATCCTGTATTCTATATTTTTCCAAAGTCAAATGTAACATTTCCGTCATCTACTGTCTAACATGACACTAATTGTGGTGACTTGAGATAGAGATAGATAATGGAAACAGAGGTAAGGTAGTAGACTTCCACGCACTGTGAGCCCCGTTCATCAATAGCAATGTTTCTGTTATACTTTCATCACAGTGCTTTACATTACAAAAATCTTTCAAACATATTAAACTCATTGAAAACCTATGTACATTGCACCCCCCCATGGAACATTTATTTAGACAGAGTAAGTTTGGTGTTTTAGGCCTTTAACCTAGTGCTGTTCCTGGAAGCTCAAACCGTGTTAAGAGAGCTAAATGTGGCCCATGCCTTTTTGCAAATCTGTCCCAGGGTCTCATTTTTCCCACAGGCTGTCATTAAAGACAAATCTGTGAACTGTTTTCGGCAGGACACCCCGAACGGTAGACAGGGTCAATTGTTACTAGTGCGTCATGGGTCACACAACACAGAGGCCGACCAGTAAGAGAAAAACTGACTGACTGGTACGTGTGCTGCAGGGATTTATTATCATTCTTTATTCTATCTCATGCGAAAATTGTTATTAAAGTGCAATGTTGAGCAAAAGATCAAATTAATTCTGTCTGTCAGTGGATGGTGGAGTTTTGACCTGTGTTAATAGATTGTTTTAAAGAGAAACAAGGGGCAACATTGTAGTCTCCACTCTCCTCCTACTCATATATCTTTGCACTCTCCCTCCTCCTCATTTGCTTTTCTTCCCTTTGCTCTCTTCTTCTTCTCTTTCTCCTCTTCACAAAACCTTCTCTCCTTCCTAATTCACTTCTCCTTCTCTCTCCTGCCCTCATTTCACTATTTGATCCTCTCTGAGATACATCAGCTCTGCCTGCAGGGTCTGTGCACATCAGTATGATCTGTGTACGGGCTGATAAGACTAGCTGGTGCTCATCATGTGCAGTAGCCTGAGGCTGAAGACAGTGACATCAATTCACACCTAGGACAACTTGCCTGTCAGTGACAACAAATGGCTAAAGCTAATTTATTTTGATCTTTATGGACTAATAAGCCATGAAAGGACTTGATGCATATCACTGAAAGCATGAACCTAGCAAAGAACAATGAAAAATGGCAACCAAAAATGATTTATAACTTAGTGACTCACTGTCGCGCCCCTTAATTCACAGAGCACTCAAGTTAGTTGGTATTACTGGTGTACCAGTACAGTGCAAGTGAAGCAAGATTTGTAAAAGTATTTGACTGCATCCCACTCTGAATAGTCTTCTGCCTCCTCAGGCACAGCAACCAACCAATTAAGAACCCTAGTTTCGCTGGTTTCCTGAGGTTCTTTTATGTCTGAAGCAGAACTACTTCATCATCTAGACAAATACAATTAGGTGAGTTTCTCCATGACAAGTGTGATCACTAGTGACAGGGGTAATCAATCCAGATCAGAGTGTTTCAGGCAGCATAAATCAATCCAAATGTGAGCAACACAGACGGCACTAATGGATCCCGACATGACTGGTTCAGACAGGAGTAAACAATCAGGAGAGAAGTTAATCAGGCTGTTGGATAACAGTGTTTAACATTCTGCATCAGCTAGTCAGGGCTGGACGGGCAGCCAAGCAGAACACTGATTTTTAAGTGAGTATGTGTGTGCACATTTGTGTGTGTGTGTGTGTAATGCATAAATTGTTTGCTGCAGCACACGTGTTTTGGTTTGCTGAAAACATATTGTGCTGTGTTTGTTGAGGGGTGCTTTAGATTGTGCGTATGCAAAAAGGGTCAGGTGAAATAAATTGTCTACTGGAAACATTGTTATGCTTCGCTGATAACAGACAAGTGCTGTGTGTTTGTGTGCAATCTTAATAGTAGAGTCCATATTCCCACTCTATTAACCCTTCTCCCTCTCTATTGCTGACCTGCCAGTCAATTACACCAGCCCTCTAATAGGTCAACACCACTCAGACTAATTTACATAAATACATCTATAAGGGTTAGATGCAGCGAGTGAGGGGAAAGAGAAGGAAGGAGCTATATAACAACTGAGCTGTAATAAAACAGAGCAGAAATGATAAAATAATATAGATTGTGATAACTGGGTTTGATTTGCTGATTGTAAAACTGTTAAACAAACCAATTGATTCATTGACTGATTGGCTGAATGAAAACTAATTGACGAGCTGAGATTGGTTTCTTACCATGATGAGCTGAAAAACTGTTGGTAGGATCATGCTGTATTTGATCAACCTGAAAGGGACAGAGAAAAAACATATTGGAGCAGAGATAGAGAAAGGCGGGTGAGGAATTAATTTAATTTAGTGGCCATTCACTGCACTGTTCACACACAAACTTGCACATGCACAGACACTGGGCCGTTTCATCTTCATTAAGGTTGGAGTTCCGCTACAACGACTCCTGTCTGGTACCAGTGAAATTGGTGAGAGAGGAGAGACGAAAAGAGGAGACACAATGAGAGCAGATGAAGTGAAAGGAGGTGAGAGAAGAGCGGGAAGGACACAGCAAGAGGAGATGAGAGTTAAGGGGAAGATCAGGTAAGAGTAGATTACATTTGGCAATGATGAGAAAGGAGGGGGAAGGTTAGAGGAGGAGAGGGAGATTTGGACAGAGAACAGAGGGAGGACAGAGGAGGGGAGAAACAAATAAGTGAAAGGAGGAAGTAGAGAATGAAAAGAAAAGAATGAGAGAGAGAGAAAGAGATGTGGATGTCTAAAGTATATTAGAAATGACAGTCTGTCCACTTACTGATTAAAGTTCACAACCAATTACTCTGTAGTTGGAGTGTCTACACACACACACACACACACACACACACACACACACACACACACACACACACACACACGTGTATATGTGGGTGTGTGTGCATTAAAAAGTAAGAAAGCATTCATGCTGCAATGGGAACAAAGCCAGCTAAAGTCAGACAGGTGTTAATATACTGCGGGCAACAAAGCCTGTCCACTGGTTTATAAATCTGTTGATTCTAATTATGATTTATAGTTTGTCTAGCAGGCATCAGACCATTCAAGGAAACCTTTATTTAAACAAGCTGATTCAACACTGTCTAACAGAGTTTTCAGCAACAAACATTGTGTTCCACCTTATCACAAATGTGCTCTTTTTGAACTTAATGGCCATCCAAGGGTGTTAACAAGTTGTACTTAATAACCCCTTTGGATGGCCATTAAGTTCTCCCAACTTTTTACTTTCCCTTTTCACAACTTAAATATTTTTTTTCTTATAGACAGTTGCCTACTTTATATTCAGTGTCCTTATATTTAGCCTTTTCCTTGTTGCATCAGATTACTTTTGCTGCAGTCCTGCAACCTACTTTTTTTTTTTTACAGAGATCAATACCACTTTGATTTTATCTTAATGTGTGCTGACATATTCCCCACGCCATTACACCATATTCTCAGCTCACAGTCAGTATCCGCAAAAGAAACTGTGATTTATTGGACCAAGCAGTTGCTTCAGTCTACAGTTAGTCTTGGAGATTGTGTTCCTAATATTTCTAACTCTTCAATGTTTTCGTTGGTAATACTAGAAACAAGTATGATTGTTAGACTGAGCCAATTTCTGCATACTTTGGCAGGTCCTTGAACAATATGAAAACATGATATTTTGACCCAGAATACTACTGCTCATGGAGGCTTTTTGTTTAATGCTATAATGTTGTAGTCGGCCATATCTAAGATGCTGCCATTAGCACCACTTAAGTAAGAGGAACTATGTTTCTTTTTAAGTGAACAGTGACTATCTTTTATACTGAGAAGACTCACTGTCTGTAGGCTTGTAGAAACATGGAGCTGTGGACACTGTTCTGTGGTAACTGTTTTTTACTTGTCATGATGAATGAATCCAGAGATCTGTGATTTACTTTATATTTAGCTTGGTACACTATGTTAGGTCTTTTATGAAGGGGCAAATATGTCTGTGTCTGTGTGTGTGTGTGTGTCAGTGTGTGCGTGTGTGTGTGTGTTTGTACATGTGATGGATGGCCTCCCATTAGGTAGGTGACAGGCTGAGAGATGAGAGGACAGGCCAGGCCAGCACGACATGATAAACTGGACCACCTTTAAACTACCAGCCATACATCAATAGACATTGCACACAACAGCAGACACTGAACAAACCAGAGCACAACAGACTGCCAGCCAATAATAGAACAAACACAGATAAGAAAACCCTTACTGCATTAGCCATACATCATCAGCTTTATAATAGAAGATATAATAATTATTACAATATGGACATCCACTACACTGAAATTAACCTTTGCTCTACTCTAGTCAGATATTCCTGCTGTCAGCTAAACACTTATACCTCTAAAACTTAATATTAGATGATTTTGAAAGGGCAACATGGATCTTGTAACAATATTTCAAGTGAAAAGATAATAAACACCAAAGATAAAGCCAGGAGGTTATATTTTAGCAGTTGAAAGTTTTAGTCAAATTAGTCTATATCACAAGGCACTGGAAAGTCCTTCCCTAGAGGATGGTCCAATTATTCAGAAATGACACACCTTAATGAGTTTTTGTATCATCTAAAGAATATTTTAAAATATTTTTTCATGCATTTATTCACTCTTGAGAGTAGCCCAGTAAAACAGGCTGTTACATGCAATAGCATCCTTTAAACGCATGAAAATGACCACCTTGGTGTTGTTAACAGCTAATGATTCCACTTTTCTCTGGTTTAGAAAGACTTTTGTGTCCAAATGACTACAGCAATTTAATGATGTAATGGTTTTGCAAGGCTGTATGCCAAGCTATTAACTAATGATGAAAGAAAAAAAAACAACACATAGGTAATAATTATTAAAAATTACAAATATGTATATTTTGTATGGATATTCTACATTCACAATAGCCAAGCCAGTTAAACTGAAAGAAAACAGTACCTTATACTTGGTTGATAGCAGACATACATGGCCATCCACTCTCTCTCTCTCACTCTCTCTCACACACACACACACACACACACACACACACACACACACACACACACACACACACACACACACACACACACAGCATGAGGTTCTTTGGCTAAAGGTCATAGTAAATGTACTTGTTTGAAGGTGTGTCTGGGCTGTGATAATGCAGAGAGAGACAGCAGGCTGCCTTCCCAACGTTAATGTCCCCAATTTACCATCTAATTACCGCACGGCTGGCTTCATAGCCACACTTATCTAACCAAGACCCAGGCAATTTAATTTCTGATTGTATAACCGCAGTGATGGAGGGAGAGTTGTGGAGAGAGGGCACAGAGAAAGAGAGAAATGTGGACTAATGTTAATAAATTAGAGATGGTGGGAGAAAGAGAATGAGGGAGACAGAAAAAATGTAAAATATTGTTAATAATGTCAGAGGAAAAGAGTGAAAGAAAAACAAAGATGTAGAGAGAAGAGTGCTGACACCAATTTGAAAAGTTCACGTCACTCTACTTGTGTCAAGGAAAGAGGAGGATGAGGAGAGAGGGTGGAAGAGAAGGATGAAGACAAGAGGGGGTATTATTACTGATAAGAGAAGTAGGGGCACATTCACCAACGAGGGTGAACTGTGAACTGAGGGAGGGTGGGAGGGATGGATGGAGATGGTCGGAGAGTGGGATAATAGTGATAAGGGGTTTATTATGGCTGAAGTAGATAAAATAAGTGGATTGGAGAGTGGAAAGAAATAAGGATAGGACAAAACAGATAGTTAACAATCACGGTTGTTGTAAATCAATATTTTTATTGAAATATTTAAGATGGAACATAGAACTATACATATTTGGCCATGGACATTTCTGTATTTATGACCTTTTTGTGATGCACAAATATCTGTGGTTGTGTTACTGTATTTGTAAGACCAAAAGGCAGCTGGCCTTATATACAGCATACAAGTTTGAGGATTTTCTGTAATAAGGTAGCAACCACTTTTTGCTACATATGGCTTCTAATCCCATTATTAGGCTAAAAAACTGCTCATGTGGGGCATTGCACCCTTTTTTGTCCTACTTTTACTCATCCTCTCTTCAAAGCCAAGAGGTGATGCACACATATTCATGCTACCTCACCCACTGACATTTCATCCTTTCCACCCGCACCCCCCCCTTCCCTTTGTCAGCATTTTCTCTCTTCTAAGTGTTACTCTTTCTTTCCATCCATCTTCCTCAATCTCCCTCCCCATCTCTTTCTTACATCTTCCTTCTATCCTTCCTTCCACCCCCCCATCCACTCCACGCCCTCCCATTCTCTCTCTCTCTGCCTCCTCTCTTTTCTTTTCACCCTCACTTTTTGTGTCTATCAACAGCTGAAAAGAGAAGACAGATGACCAGAGAATCAAGACTTACTGACAGTTGCTGTCAGAACACATCTATCAAGCACACATACACGAGTGAGCGCAGGCATTTGTACACACACACGCACACACACACACACACACAGGTGAGTCATCTCATGGTTAGAATAGGGATCAGTAGATTCTCTGTGCAACAGCAACACATCATTACCTCTTTTTATTCTGGTGTCAGATGACTGCTTCCTCAAGAAATGTTTTTAAAATCCTGAATAGTAAATTACTTCAACATTATGCAGCAGTGAATAGCAGCAATAATTTTGTTTTAGTGTTGTATATTTAAAGCACGTGCATTATACTTTTTAACAAACCTCTTCAGGAGAAGCTAGTGTGCCAAGATATATCAGCACAATATGTCAAGTCTTTACACATCTTAGCTGATACAGCACCTTATACCTGCCACTAAACTGATTACTAATGTAGAAAACACTGGCTTTAAGAGGGGTGAAAAGGGTGTTGTTAAATGTAGATCACGAGCAGCGGCGTAGCTGTGCTGATGTTGCTATTAGCCCTGAATGTGCATCAGCTACATCACTAAATAAATGATTATTTGTGTATATCTCTATGTACTGTAGTGCGTAAATAAATCACTGCCAATGGTAAGTTTCTGTGTTTGTGTGCACATTTAAGCAGGTGTGTGTGTTGTGTGTGCATGGTTGTGAATAAAAAACAGTTAGTAGTGATTCAGAGTACTGAACTGGGAATGACTGGCCTTGGCATTAAAACATTACATATTGAGAGCCTAAAATGTGCCTGTGTGTACTTATGCGTATGCCTGCCAGGACTGCAAAAACATTTCAGTACTACCAAAGCTTGGTATTGGATAGAGAACGAGAATAATGGAGTCAAAACTATCTCCAGTTAACAAAAGTATTCTCCACATAAAATTTACTATTAATTTACTGTTAAGAGGTGGGCAAATGTCTGAAAGAACAGACCAGGTTTGCTTGTCACTTTGTGCTGCTGTACATAGGACAACTTTAATGGATGTATAATATAAAACTGGTATATGATGCTGATAATACTTAGAATGGTACTGTAAGGTACAGTACAATCACATTTTCTTACAATGCCTTAACAGTGTTTTGCTGTCTCTGTGTGTGATTGATTGTGTGTGACTATGTGTACAGTACCTGCAGATCTGTGTGCTGTGTTCAGTCATTGATACCAGCAGTTTGAGTGCGTAGAGTGGGATAGGCTCTGCTGCGCGAAGAAGAGACTCATACCTAGACACAAACATGAGTACAACATTTGGCTTTCGTAGAGTTAATAATTAATGTACTGTTCTGATCATTAGTAACAGAGTGTAAACTGGAACAGATCTGGAGAGAGGGGTGGAGGAGAGGGGGAGGGGAAAACCAGAGGTATAATAGGAGAAAAAGAGAAAAAGAAATGTGGAAAGAGGAGCAGAGGAGAGGATTTGAGAGGTAAAGGGGGGGGTGGGGTAGAAAAATAGGGGTGGAAATAAAAATGAACAAGAGGTAACAGCAATGAGAGAGAAGGATATTTTAAAAGAGGAGGGTAAAAATGATAATATTATGGGAACATAAAGTATAGATCCACATAGAAGATGTCAAGGAAAGTGAGAAAAGCACAACAAATGTCAACGTCTACTTTGTATTCTTGTTACTCTGTCATGATATGAACTTTTGCAAACTGTATTTGTCTGTCTCTGCTCTCCAAAGACTGCCAGATCATTGGCTGCCAAAACTCATAAAGACGACGTACTAGAATGTGACGAGGACCCACAGACGCAGGACACAAAACGACTCTGCATATTCTATTTTAAAGACCTAGAGGCAGGATTTTGATATCAGTAAATATTTACAGTATACCATCACTGATATCTCAATACATGTATAATTGCCTTGACTATACTGTCACCTGTCTATGAAACCCCAAGATCTTAAGTGGGCTCATAGAATTTATGATGGTTGAACATCTCTGTTTCCATTTCAAGAAATCAGGGTCTTAAAGGCTCAACTCTAATATAACCTTTTGTCGTGATAATATTGAAGGCTTAATGTATTTTCAACCTGACCTGTCACTGTACTCCAGCTGTTTTGGTTTCAATATTGTGTCTATGTACATCTAGTATTTACCAAAAATAGTGGGGTACTTGCATAAACCAAGGATTAGGTTGGACTTACTTCAAATATTGTCTTGTTTGTCAAAAGGGGGTTAAAGGAGAAAAATAATCAGTAATAAACTAAAGTGTAGAAATAATTTTGATGATGGTCTCCTTTACACTATTTGTATCAAAGATTCACACTTGATGTGTTTATGCTGTAATGATGGAATTCACAGGAGTCTTTTCTGTTCCTACAGAAACAAAAATTGACAGAGGAAACCAGACACACTGTAAGTCCGATACTTAGAGGGAATCAGACCAACCTTGGAAGCAGAGATTTAGTGATGAGAGCTAAGATTTGACTGGAAGAGTTTCCTTCATCTCTTCCTTCTGCTGCCCTTCCTCCTCCCTCTTGTCTCTCTTTCTTTTCCTCTTTCCTCTCATCTTCATCAGGACCATCACCATCTTGGACCAGCAGGACCTGACTGAGTTCAGACAGCATCCTCAAAACAAACACAGACCACTCCACTGTAACATACACACAGAGAAACAAAGAGAGGATAGTATAGAAAATATTACTGAGTGATCTTCAACAATTGCATAACATCCTGACCATTGCTTTAGAAATGACAAGGAAATTGTTGATTTAGAGGCAGCAGTGACGTTAAGACGTAACACAGCTTAAGACTAAGAGAAAAAGATGTTCAATGGCATGTTTTGACCAGATCAGTGTATGCATATTACTGACTTTTACCGTTCTAGTTTCCTTCTAGGACTATTAATATTGACCGAAATAACCACATAAACTGATCATAATTGTCATATCAAAGACATAGTATAACTAAGATGCTTGAATATTACATTATCTACATTATATAATACATAATGTATATGGACAATAGAATAGTGTGACATGATACCAAGTACCAAACAGTATTAATGGCCCACCACGAAACAAGGACATTATTTTACCCTAAGAAACTGGTTCCACAAAACATACTCTTACTCTGTCATGCTGGGACCCACAGAAAGCAAATAATGACTCACTGAGGGTCCAAAACAAAACACTGCTGTGGATAATTACAACACTTTTCACTAAATACACAGTTCATTAATGCAGGAATTTTTATGACCTTAAACATTCAAGGTTAGCCTCTCTTCTTTACCATGTCCCTGCATCTTTGCCATCTCATTCCTCTACACTTTTTTCTTCATCTATTTATCTTCCTAATATGCATCTATCTATCTATCTATGGATGTATGTACAGTATAGATCTTTTTCCAGATTTTGGCACTTTTTCCTTTGATAACAGAAAGAACACAAGGGGAACGAAAGGCGAGTATGACATGCAACAAATGCAAATGTCACTGCGGTTGTATGGCATGCACTTTAACAATTTGGTCTGCCCCTATCTTTCTAAATATGTCCCCTCTCTTCCACTCTTTCCCATTTGCTCTGCTCTCTTCTATTCCTCACTCCCTCCTCTCTCAGTCTGACATTTGCTTGTATTTTCGCATCCCCTCTGTCTCATTTCTTTTTCTCTCTTCCGACTCAAAAACGACCAACCACCTCTCTTACCATTTCTGTTGAAAGCCAGTGTTGTCAGAGGAGGCAGGATGGCATCCACAACCTTCAAGACACATAAATGGACCAAAAATCTTTACACATTACACTGTATTGATCCTTTACCACAATACTCTGTAAGAGGCTGATTAACTAAAGTAGTAAAGCAATACTAGAATCATGGAGTATATCAGGTAGAAATGATGTAGCAGTAGATAAAAGTAAAAGTAAATTACATTTACATTTAGTCATTTGGAAAATGCTTTTATCCAGAATGACTTACAAGTGAGGGACATCACTAAAGCTTCACTGCAGTAGGAAACTTTGGTGTAAGTACCAAGTGCCATATCTACTCAATAAGTGGAAGGAGATCAGGTAAAGAAGTGCATCAAAGATGCATAGTAAGTGCTAGTTAGGCATGTTAGGTAGCTAGATAAAATTAACTTGCTGAAAATGTGCAAGCAAAACTACTGCAAATCCGCTGAAGGCTTTTCTTTTCTCTCTAAAAGTTCACATTCATTCTCACTGTTGAAGATGAACAGTATAAATAATTTAATTTGGTCCCATGTTCTCTCATTTGAGGGGAAAAAGGTGTATCAATAAAAGCTTTCTCAGCCTTTTCTCTGAAAGCATGCTTAATATACAGCAAATCTGAAAACAGATATATTTTTAGATTACACTGAATAGAAGACACTTTGCTATATTAATTCAGTGGGCATCAACCACACAGACCACTGTCAGAGGATCAGATTACTATGGAAATACACTGTTGAGTGATTTCTTTGATCACACACGCGCACACACACACACAAAAATGTACCTCCGCAACTTTCAAAGCGCGCACACACACACACACACACACACACACACACACCACACACACACACACACACACACACACACACACACACACACACACACACACACACACACACACACACACACACACACACAAATGTACCTCCGCAACTTTCAAAGCCTTTATTTAGGCATAAATCTGTACTGCATGAATTTGCATGATTACTAATATTACCATAGAAACAACACTAATGCTGAGTGAGTGTGTGAGGTCATTACATTGAAGGCAGAGAAAGAAAAGTACAAAGGATGTTGTCCACCACTTAATGGTCTGTGTATTAATATCACAACCATCAAAAGACTGGATGGAGTGTGTGTTTATGTGTGTGTGAGAGGGGGGAGGCTTGATGTAGTTTCTCTGAACTGTTATCTATGGGTGACATGTCCCTCCACTTTCTGAAATCCTTTCTTGTTCCCATTTTTCTGTTTTTGCTCTCTTACATAGTAATCCCTCTGCCTTTTGTACAGTGGTGCAAAAAAAAATCACCGCAATTACAACTAAAGATGAATTTAATTCAGTTTGCTTTGCAGCCACTAAAAAATAGTAAAATACTATTTTATCTGTTTTCTTACATGGCTAAGAAAGAAGCAATGTTGTATACACTTTATTTTACCTTTTGTACCATTTGCAAATCAGAAGCAACAGCTGGTCTTCTGAAATTCAACTTCGGTTACTGGCAAACAAACCTCATGTGTACACTGTTAATTAGACAGTGGATAAAACTACATGTTTTTTAATATACCTGCTGTACTGAAGCTATTGTACATCATTAATTTAACAACAAATTGGCTATTGTTAGCTAGCAGCTCCTAGACACAGTCAGTAGTATCTAATGATCCTCAGCATATCTTGGCCTTTGTAGAGAACTGAGCGGTTTTCAGACTGAGTTGAAAAGAGGATGCTGGCATTCTCTATTTGCCAAAGTGACCAGTATTGTAATAAACAAGTTAATTGACTGAATTTAATATTGTTCGATAGCAGTGTAAGTGCAACCATCAGTTGGTTTTGCTCATTACTAATTAGTGCTGTGTTGTACTGTTTTGTATCAAAATTATGTTATATTATTTTAGAGAAAACTTCAATATGTTGGGGTTTTCCTATCTGTTGTTCTGAATTGATAAATATGATAACATAACTCAAAAAGTAGTGAAACAACCTTAGTGGCTGACTGTACATTTAGTGCAATAAAAATGCTTAGTGACCAAAATCGACTACATTTGTTTGCATCTGTTAGTAAAAACTTTTAAATATCTGTGTAGCCTGTAAAGTGTTTCATCTGTTTTTACATATTACAGTTCAATCGCACATTAAATCTACTAGGAATGAATTTAATTCCTGGTCATGCCTTCTTGGTTTTTATTGAGAAAGTGGCTTATTTGGAAAAAACAAAAACGTTGTGGGGGAAAAACTTACTTCCAACTTTACTGTGTGATAGGGATTCAGAGATGTAAATTAACTCAAACATGAGTGTGTCTCCTTGTCCAGCTGGCAATAAAAGTTAATCTGAGCTGGCTGACGGTAATTAAAGTGTCTTCCTGTGTTATTGACTCTCAGCAGCAGCAAGACTCCTCTTTGCTCCTTTCCTCTATTCCTCATCTCTTTTCTCTCCCTCCATCCTGTCTGCTTCCTGCTGCTCTCCACTTCCATACGTCAATAGTCATTAAACACAATCTCATTGTCCTATCACATACACACTCTCCCTCGCTCTCTCTCTCACACACACACGCAAACGCACGCACACACACTCTCACACACAGACAGACACACACCATGCACACTGATCTGATGAGGCTGTCTTGGTTCAATAGTTGATTAGTGTCTTGCCTAATAGCCCGCAAGTTGACCCTGTGTCCTCTGCTCACTAATAGACAGGTTTAGCAGATTGGAAGACACACAGCAAATATCAAACCAGGGGCCACTATATGAAATGGACAAAAATAGGAGATATTCAGGAAGACATGAACATTAACCTGACAGTTTTTATATCCCTCACCGGTTTTCTTCAAGTGTTCTATCACAGCAAATCAACTTATGTATTACTTGTGTTATTCTAAGAATACCAGGATGATGACAGGTTGTCTCCAAAGTCCTGTCAGAGGTAATGTACTGATGTTGAATATCACAGGATACCTGTCTTATATTTCTTTATAAAACTTTCAGCAGATAATCAGTCAGTCAGACAGTCAGACAAACAGACAAGTAGCCAGTGACACTAAAACAGACCGACAGACACACATACATAAACAATCACAAACAGTCTAGATCAGGTAGACAGACAATGAGTCAGACAGGAAGTCAGCTGGATACTCAATCGTGCGCATACTTACAGCACTACGATATGGAGTGATGAGAGCATGGTGCTGACTCAGCACTTCCACAATGGACAGAGATGTCCTAATCAACTCCTCACACACTGCTGTACCTAGAGGGAATCAAATATCATTCAGCTCTACTGAATCATCAATAAAAGTGGTGGATGACCCACAGGCTGACCAGACACTGAATCCCCTGCACTGATGTCTGGGTGTATTCCATTTGTGAGCTAGCAACTGGAGTATGGTTGATATCATAACCCCCTCAGCTCCTCCAAAGGCAGTGCACTGTGGCTGACCCTGTACTCTGAACTTTTGACATTCAACGCCACATCTCTCTCTTCAAGGATGTATCTGTTTCTCTTCTTATCTTTCACATATTAGTATTTTTTTCTTATGATCCAAAGGTAAAAGATGTTGAAATGTAGCCTCCACAAATAAAAAGCATTTGTTAAAAGGTATGGGTTTTCACAAAGTCACACTTGTTCAACTATAGAGGCTTCATTCATTACTTTGAGTCTCAATTAGATCAGGTAAAGAAAATGTACTGTAACAATTAAGACTTACATTAAAGCATCAGCTAATATAATGTGATTAATGATGTACATAAAGACAAAACATTGAATGCAAAAAATCCCCACAGTGTTAATCACATATACGTGAATGCAAAGTACAGTTTGTTAAAAGAAATGACATAATAGATAAGTATTGATGAGTGTTGTCATTGTAGCAATTGAAAAAGTACCTCACCCACAGCACTGGTCAGATTTGTTTCATTGGACTCTATGGAGGTGACATAGCTCTGAGAAAGAGGATGTGTAAAAATGACACATCAATTAAAAACTTCATAAATGCTTGGTTGAGATCATTTTACTGTACTGTGAATACTGCTTTTTATTGTTTTCTTTTTTATTGTCATGTACTTATCACTATATGCTGCTGTGTGTTTCAGTTATTTTTTTCTCTGTCTCCCTACATAATTCAAGGACTGCAATGGAAATGAGAACTTCTTTTTATGTTATCCTAATTGTTGGGATTTCACTATGTTTTAACATGTCAAACAAATTCAGATTCAAAATGTCCTAATGCATCCTAGTTTTAACAGTGTCATTAGTTTGTAAAACAATCACTCTGATGTGGAGACAAACGATAAGTCCACATCAAAACAAGTAATCAGGATTACCAGACACTTACAAGCAGCAATCCAACTTGAGCCAAAAACTCCTCAGTTACAATTTGAGATCGAAAGACCTGTGTGAAGACAAAGTCAGTCACACAGTCAAACAGAGATGGGGTGATGGGACAACTAGGCAAAATTATGTTACATTATTGTTTTCAAATGGTAGTCTAAATCAAATCACTATACATTTGTTACCAGGCGCACACACTTGGCCTTCAATGAAATGACTAAAAACGAGTGGTTAATAAAAATAATTGACTTGCAAAATAGATTGGCAAGGCTATGTTCAATCTTAGCAATAGGTATTGGTCATTTTTAAAAAGAAATCTGTGTGGTTAACCTTGCATACAATAATGCTAGAACATTAAAATGGAAAAATATTCCTTTTGGTCATAGTTACCTGTGATGAAAGAAGTTCCAGCACTACAGACATGGTAGGCAAAGTGTGTTTAAGCTGTCTACTCTGAGCTGTAGAAGGGTGTCTCCTCCCGTTCACATCTCTCAACACACACAAGACATCCTCTAGAGAGAGGATAGGAGACAAGATATGGGTTTACAAGATGAGAAGGGATGGGAGTAGAGAGGTATGTACAAACATAAACCATATTTGACTATTTAAAAGTTTACTACAAGTACTAGCAAAATCATTAAAATTTTCCTACTCAGCTAAAATTATCTGAATGGTTTTACAGGATCATAAAAATACACACATGCACTATCACGCAGAAGATTATTTTGCCTTATTTTGTGTGCGTGTATCTGTCTGTACCCAGTATCAGAGGTGCAGTGCTGCTCAGATATACAATCAGTAAGTCCAGACACTGAGACAGGTATCCTGATTGCCTGGGGTTCTCTCTGAGAGGTGTGGCTTTGCGCAGGTCTCTCTCCAGGTACATGACAAGTCTAGAGAGAAAGAGACACACATGCGCAATGCATGTCACAAAGTAGAAAAAAACAACTTATTTTCAGATCTGTATGTAGTATTACCAATTCATCAATGTTTCAAGGATGGAGGATTTTTTTTCACTTTCACTGTATTTAGTGTTTCATTTTATTCTACTGCTCCACTCATTGTGATGCAGACAAACTAGTAATATGATTTTAGTCAGCAAGCAATAAAATTTTGACAGGATGCATGAAATAGACTGGGCAAGGACTCTGGGCAAGCCAGAGACAGACAGGCCCCAAGTTTGAGAACATTTTTATTCTCATCAGTCTCCATGTATTGAACAGTAATCGATAATATTCTATTCACAAATTCTGAGCAGAGCAGAAAGGTTACCACTGTTAACTGATATTCATTACTGACACAAAACACCCACACGTGTGTATCAGGACACACAAGCACAAGCAAGAATGAATGCAGATCCATGCAGAGAGATTCAGAGAGGTCACATTAGTCAACAAATATTGATTCTAAGATTTAGCGTGGCAATTGTGCAGAGGGTTGCATATAACACTATCCAGGATTATTGTTAAATGGTATCCACTGTTACTAATTTAGGGGTCCAGTGCATTTTGTTTTTCCAGTTTTTCATTACCATTATGGGGGTTTGTGCATATAAAAAAACTAAACTAAACTAAACTGTAATGCAAAAAAAAGAAGACAAATCCTTATGTCATATTAACACTCACTTCCAGTGTAACCTTGATCCTTGTCACTGAGACAGACCTACAGACTAGTTTATCTTATCTTTATACACCATTTAATCATACACTTTTTTCAAATGACTGTAAAGAACAACATTACCAAGATCTTAGTAATCAACAGTCACAGTCAAATAAATGACTCCAGTGTAGTGTAATCATTTTCAGGAGTGAAAACGATTATTCCCACCTTAATTGCATGTTATAGGTGTTAAATACAATGGTATTATTAACAATGATAACACAAAATGAAACAATTAGAACCATGAAACACATGATCAGGTAGAAAAGAGGGAATTAATGCAGATAAGGTGGCGTAAGTGTCAAAAAATGTTAAGGCCATGTTCGGTTCCAGTTCCATGAAGGTCTGCTACACGAATAATTTCAATTACATGCATTCATTTCAGAAAGTGTTCAGACCCCTTCACTTTTTACACACTTTATTGTGTTGTAGATTTAATTCTAAATGAATAAAAAAATTTGCCCTATCAATCTACACTCAATAACCTATACTGACAAGCTTTGAGTGTTCTAGGAGCACAGTGGCCTCAATTATTGTGAAATGGAATGAGTTTGGAACCACCAGGACTCTTCCTAGAGTTGGCCATCTAGTCAAACTGAGTAACCAGACAAGAAGGCCCTTGGTCGGGGAGGTGACCAAGAACCCTCTGCAGAGATGGGTGAACCTGCTGGAAGAACAACCACCTCAGACAATGCTGGAGTGGCTTCAGGACAAGTCTTTGACAGTCCTTTAGTGGTCCAGCCAAAGCCCAGGCTTAAACCCTATATAACATCTGTAGAGAGACCTGAAGATGACAGTTCACAGATGCTTCGACGCTTTGAGAGGATCTGCCAGGAAGAATAGGATAAACTCCCTAAATCCAGATGTGCAAATTTTTACCCAAGAAGAGTCAAAACTATAATTGCTGCCCAAGGGGCTTCTTCTACAAAGTACTGAATTGAGGGTCTGAATACTTCTGTAAGTTAGAGATTTCAGTTTTAGATTTTTTATCCCATTGTTAATATATTCTAAATCCGCCTGGCAAAATCTACTAGCATTGTGTGACCAAAAGCAGAGTGGAGTTGTTAATTATCCACTCAAAATCTATAATTATATTATTGTTATATAATCAAACTTTTTATTGTCAGCAATCTCTGTCACTGTCCTTGCACTCACTAGTCTCTTCTGGAGTCTTCTCTGCTGCTTGTATTACTTTTGCAGTGCAGTTAAAATATATATATAATTATAATTACATAATGTTTCCTGAATAAGAAGTCAGCATATTAGAGAGCCTTGCAATTTGGCATGTCAGAATTCACTGAAAATAATCTCTGATGCGGTTGGAAGTCAATTCTTAAAGCAGATGCAAAGGTGTCATAACCTGTTCCACATAGAAAAATGAACAGGAAACAAATTTCAGGCTGCCTGCATCATAATTCTAGTGCTCACTATCTGTAAACATATTTAGAACCATAGAAATGGCAGGCAACAGACTGAACACATATTTATCTGAAACCACATTCTAGTCAGTAAGGCAACAGTAGGGTGTAGTTTGAGTATTCCAGCTGTTGTGGTTAACGTACATGTGATATGGAAATAACGTTGTGATTAAAAAAAAAAAACAAAACAAAAAAAAAACTATATATATATATGTATATATACACACATATATATATATATATATATATATGTATATATACACATTGTACTGTTAACTAGATTGAGCTGGTACAGTTTTGCTTAAAAGTTTTTGACATGTCGAGATTGTGCATTGCTAATTACACCATACTAGCTCTTTTGTAAACTGTAGGCTAATAACACAAATTACAGCTAAGGACAGAGTGGAGCATCAGTTTTGCAGGTATCTGGTCATAAACAGTGAGAACTTTGACCTGTTTACGATGCTAGACCCCCAGGCAAGGAAAGTTATTCCAATTCATCCTTAGGGAGACATGTCTACCATATTTCATGGCCATCCTTGGTTCAAGATATAATCTTCAACAGCGTGAATGTCTGCATTTCTAATTACCTCACCAGCCACAAATAAAAAAATGTATAATACAAAATGCTTGTTAGTCTACCTTTACTGTACATGTATGTCTGTCTGAGTAGTTTTTGACCAGTCTATCTCTCTACCCAGCTCTATGCCTGATTCCTGGCTGTCTGCCTATTTGTCTCCCTGTTAGACTTCTGCCTGTGTGTTCCTCTCTTGCAGTCATTTTTCCAAATTGCTAACTAGTGACAAACTTGCCACCTCTGTCAGTCACTGTGGGAGACTCACAAAGTACTCACACATAACTGACCTACAAGTGGCCTGCTCTGTCTGTGTGTGTGTGTGTGTGTGTCTGTTGAAAGCCATCTCACTCCACTCCCAATGGCAATCTTGACACTTCCTCAGCGAGGCCTGCACAAGTTTATCTCATATAGACAAAAACAAATACACAAACACACACACACGCACACATTTTCACACCACTGAGGAGCTAATTAAACACAACGCGTCTGGGTAAAAGCAGGACTGAGGGAAAGACGTGCGTGTCTGTGCGTGTGGTTGAATCATCCAGAGTGCTCGGTGGGAGAGAGACAGGCAGGTCAACTCTGACAGCTCTAACACAGTGAACAGAGGGAGAGCAAGTGAGAGGAGAGAGATAGTGTATGTGTGTGAGAATGAAAAACAGGCAGACAGAGGAAAATAGTTAAACAGGAAGTGAGAAATAGAAACAATTCATTAATTAATTTTTAGGGTCATGTGTAAAAGGAAGTTGTTTTAAGGCTGTCTCTCAGGGAGAATGCTTCAATAAAAAAGATCCTAACTGAGGTAATCTCATTGTTAAATTTCCACTTCCTGCCACATACCACTTCTGTATCCCAGTTCAGGAGGATATACTACAATTTGCAGTGTATTATTCTTTATGGTATAGCATTTAAGTAGTTAGTGTACCAGGAAGTAATGTACTGTTACATTTTGTACTACTACTACTACTATCAGGAGAGTTTCAGAGCCTCTCTTCTGATCATCTGATGGGGTTTTGGAGACTGTCCACAGTGTCGCAGCGTCCAGCTCGCTGCCCCTGCCTCCAGCTCACTCCTTTGGCTGATAGACCCTCCAGGCAGATTGGTGAAGTGCCAGTGTATGTTGAGGCCAGCCAAGGGAGTAAGTGAGGCCGTAGAATAAGGGACATCATGGAGGTGGGTGATCAGGAGGCTGAATCCAATACTAGAAGTGGATTACCAGGAGAAGGAGCAGTCTACCCTTCCATACATACATTGGGAAAATTATGGTGGAAATATGCTTTGTCTGGGCAGCAGCTATGGAGACAAAGCTGTCAAGAAGCTTATATCCTTTGACTCCAGGTGGTGAATATCATCCCCTCACTGTGAGTAAGCAAGTTTGCAGTGCGCACACAGCCATAGTAATAGCTTGTTTTCAGTCCAAGTGTACTAATGAAGCAACACGATTGATAAAACAGGAAACTCAAAACAGCAAGATAAAAGTAATCCAATGATCGGTAGAAGAATAGTGTTAAAAAGATTAAAAGCTGATAAGATCATTGGCGAGGCCAAACAAAACACTAATAAGAGTTCTTAATATAGATTGAATTAAAATATAACAAATTTAAAATAAAAACTTGCAGAAACCAAATCCTGCAAGGATTGCATGGTGGGTCCAAGGTTGTTGGTGACTGTTTCGTTGTGACATCCCAAAATTACAGAGGTCTGGGTTATGTGCATTTCTCTGTGGATTGAGTGCTTTGATACTTTCACAGTATTTATTCAGTACCTAGACCTGCTTTATAATCAAACTAGACTCACCACCTCATGGTTCATCCTTGAGTCCAAGTGCCAAATTTGAGTTCCCTCAGGGTTGTGTTTTGTGAGGTCACAGTGTCCACCACCTTAACCTTTGACCACCAAAATCTAATCAGTCTGTCCTTGAGTTCTAATGACTGTTTGTGCCAAATTTGAAGAAATTCCCTAAAGGCACTACTGAGATATCGTGTTCACAAGAATGGGATAGACAGACAATCTGAAAACATAATGCCTCCAGCTCTGGCTGTCACTGGCAAATGGATTTGTGGAATTGGGACTGGTTTATATCATTATTTGTGTGTAAAGTTGTGTAAAACATTACATTTAATGACAGTTTTGTGGTTAAGTCCAAGGTAATAAAGTGGTGTATTCAGATATTCCGTTTATTTACAGTGTGGCTGATATTGTTTTCACCTTGTGAGCCTCTGTGTGTGGTGGCAGCTTTGGCAGGTGTTTATACGTCTTCCTGTCTGAGAACAGATTTTGTCACCAAGATAGTGTCACAATGATGGGCATTGCGGCTGGTGTGATCCCATCTCAAGATAGGCTTTAGTTGGGGTGTAAAAACAATTGTAAACAAAATTTATGGTTATGCGAATAAACCACTCCAACTTATCCTACCTTACTATTTTATGGAAAAGTTGATCTGGAAGTATATGTGTGTAAAATGTGAGACAGCCATAGCAGAGAAAGATGAGTCTGAAAATGAGAAGCATTTTAGAGAATAGAGAATTTAATAGAGAATTTGAGAAAATAGAGAGGAAGAGAAGAGACAAGGGGAGAGACATTTATAAGGATCCATATGTCAGTAATCTAGGGTATCTTTTTCAAACTGAAATACCAACTGGTCATAAATTACCAGGGGAACTGGGTGTATATATCATGCATATGCATCTGATTATATCAGCAATGCACATTCACAGCTGTACTGCGAGTTAGTGTGGGGTGAAACACAGGACAACCAGCTCTAATGAACTATTTGAAGTTCAGTAAAGTTACAGCATGCGGCAGCACAAACTGAATGTCCAGGGTACATACATTCATATTATCATTCCCACAGCTGCTGTGCTAGTTAATGCAAAGGTTACATAGAGTACAACCACCTGCCAACAACCCTAGGCAGAATTTTTATGAAGGAAGTCTCCCTTCTTAAAGCTGTCTGCTTTAAATAAAAGATAACTGTGTTGAATGGGATTTATTTGCTTCAAGATAAATCACTCCACGCATGGCCTGTATGGCAAAATTTGTTGGTTTAATAATCTAATAAATCTTTAACTCAGTTTGTTGTTTAATGTGTCCAAACAAAGTTGGTTAAATATAAAACTCATGCCATTTCTCTCCATCTACATTAAGTTGCTTTCCTAAAATGTTTGTTGTTGTTGTTCTTCCATTTAAGAATTATGGAGGCCACTGTGCTGTTGGGAACCTTCAATGCAGCAGAAGTTTTTGTAGCCTTCCCAAGATCTGTTCCTCAATACAATCTTGTCTTTCAGCAATTCTTGTTCTTTTTAGGCAGTTCCTTCCTCCACAGGGCTTGGTTTGTGTCTTTCCAAGTCATGTCCAATCAGCTGAATTTACCACAGCTGGACTCCAATCAAGGTGTAGAAACAACTCAAATATGATAAAGAGAAATGGGAGGAACCTGAGATAAATTTCAAGTGTCATAGCGAAAGGTCTGAATACTTATGTCATATTTCAGTTTTTTCCTTTTTAATAAATTTACAAAAAATTCTAAAATTCTGTTGCTTTTTCATTATGGGGAATTGAGTGTGGATTGATGAGTGAAAAAAATATTTTTTTGAATTTTAGCATAAGGCATAACAAAATGTGTCAAAATTTAAGGGGTCTGAATACTTCACGAATGCACTGTACACCAATTTCATTATGTAGATTAGTTGTTGTGGCAGCTAGCACAAATGCCAATTTTCTTTAAAATGAACAATTTCACAAAACCAAAAACTTGACACATAATTTTGGATTTGGCCCACCATGCTATACACTGAAGAGGGAATTTAATTTTAGCAACAGCATCGCTGAATAAGAGAACACACAGTGAAAGCTACAGCTAAATAATTAAAGGGGAATCCCACTCTGATATGGAATTCACAAATGCTATTTGTTTGTTCTCTGACAGTTCAGCCTATGTGTGAGCAACTGCATTCTAGAGAAACTAATTAGCCAGTGGTCTGACAGACTGAGTGAGGTTATGAGTAATCCTCACTGGTCCAAATCTCAGTATAGTCAGTAGGAGGGTGCACTGAACTATGTGGTAAGATAACAGTTTAACAGACACATCACCCTTATGTGTTATTACTGTGTCACAGTGTGGTTAAAAAGAGTGTAACTGTTTTATTAACAAAATTAAATAATATTTCAAACAAAATCCTCCATAGTAGGCAGGATAGATCAAACACTGATCTCTCATATCACATCTGGTTATTGTAAAAGCACGCAGTTGCAGACAAACCTTAATGTTTGCCATGTCACAATGCTTTAAGTTGGAGCTATTTATGAAGACCTGAGATTCAATCAATTTCAATGAATAAATACTTGACACTACTTTGAATACTTAACACAATATAAAATAAAAAAAGAAATTGTATATAATAATCTGGCTGGATGGAAAACATTTTTTAAATATGTATTACAGACTTTCACTTGTCTCTATATGGGAGTGCATGCCTGTGTGTGCATCTGTGTGGGTCTGAGTGAGTGTGTGTTTACCTGTGCTGACAGCAGTAAAGCAGTGTGTGCAAGTTGTCCTGTATTAGTAGTAGCAGTAGTAGTAATGCTTTGGCTCTTGTTACTGTGGATGGACTCTCTAGACAGCGCAGCACCTTCAACACCAAATCCTACAAGACACAAACACAAATGAATAAAGTGAAAGTCTTCCTGAGACTGGTTATGCATGTTTCCTGCTCGTGTACAGTCCAAAATACTATACTTTGCAATTCAAATAGAAGCCAGCTATGTGGATGTTTGGATATTTGGATAGGTTGTATTGGTATTTTGCAAATGTTTGTTTGTTGTTTTCATGTCTATTTCCGTGTTTTTATTTATGTACACTGCCTTGGTTCATCATGTCAGGGGCTAGAGAGGGGGTGAAGTGGGTTTGTTGGTTGGAGGAAAACAAAGGAAAAGGTGGGGGATAAAGAAACTGTTGTATTACACTTTTCCTTATATCACTTGTATGAAGAGAAAAATGTTTTCACTCTACATACTCTGAGTTTATCTTATTTTCAGATTTTACTGCACTGTATCCAAATTATATATGCACAGAAATAAGAAATGATTTAATGTTACATTTTCCCCAAGGTGAAGAAAAAAAAAATCTGAAAATGCTTTAAACTATCAGACTAAAACTTAATCAGCTCAGACTATTATCACACACCTGCACACACACACACCCTCACACAAACTTGTGTGCCTACAGCTACTTCAGACACTCATTCACTCAGCATAAACTCAGCAGCAGTAACTGGTTGGAAAAAATTTTTGACTGGCCAACATTCATTACCATTATCATTATCACCAACACCATACACTGCTGACTGTGTATGTCCGTGCGTGAGTGTGTGAGAGTTAATGTGAGAGAATGTGCATACATGAATGTTTATGGGGCGACGCACCAAGTTAATTAATTTCAAAGCCCAGTAGTGTGTGCCTAGCTGATAAGTCCCTCCCCACTACCCATAATGCTTTGCTGAAGTAGAAGGCTGCAGCGCTTTCATTCAGCCAATTAGCCCAGATACTGACACACACTACAAATTAGTGTATGTGCATTTGCGTTCTCTCACACACACACACACACACACACACACACACACACACACACACACACACACACACACACACACACACACTAACAGACAGAGTTCTGTGTAAACAAACTCTTGGACTGTCTGTCTTTGTGCCAGGGGAGGGGGAAGGGGGTTTGGTAGGGGGGTGAATGCATATCAGTGTATAATTAGAGTAGAGTTGAAGTACTAAGTTTGTATTCTGGTGTTAAATTGGAAATGCTCAATGCAAATAAATTCAGTTCAGAGTCAATTACCAATGCTAGACTCCAAGTTAGAAACCTTCAAATCAATTTTAGCCCCTCTGCCTTACCAAGATTAGCACTTCACATACACACTACATGGGCTGTCTTATGAAAAATTAAATAAGTAATTCCTGACAAATTAGTTTGTGCACAGTTCAGCATTAGTTCATGAACTGTATGGAAGAGAGAGAGGCAGAGAGAGAGGGGATGAGACGGAGAGAGAGAAAGTATGACGTAACGGTTTCAGAGATTTTGAAGCCAGCCATGTTTGTTCCTGATGTGGTGGTGTTATCTAGGAGTGTTTTCATCCCTCACTCCTTGTGCAAAAACTTCCTTATTAGTGATATTTCCCACATAAATATCTCTAAAAGTCAAACCCTGCTCAGCACTGATGTTACCAACAAATCTGCAGAATTTTCTTTAGCAATATCAGTAACATATAACATTAAAACAATACGGTTGTTTGTATCTGGGTTTCTTGGTTGATATGTAAACATTTTGCAACAAATTTTGCAGGTGTGCAAAACAGCATACACATACCCTTGTCTGTGTGACACGGTGTGTTTGGATGCGTGAGGTGACTAAGGCAGTGGCCATAGCTGTGAGCAGGTGCTGCTGGACCCTGGCCCCTGCTCCACCCACACCCTCCAAGACGGCCGCAGGGCCACATGTGTCAATCACTGACAAGAAGACTGCTGGGACCAACCGGGTTAGCCTAGAAAGAGACTGGACATACACAAATATACAGGTAATGTATGTCATTCATGGATCATGTGTTCTCAGTCCGTGTAATGTCATATTGCACTTGACAATGCATATGTTAAGCTGTTAGTGCCTTACAAAAAGGGGCATGTTCCCAAAGATGCATAACATGGAGCAATGAATAACCTACAAATTAATTTGTAATTTGATCCATTGCAGCATTAACAGAAGTTAGTGATTTGTCTCACAATGTGGGATTCAGGAAATGCATGAGGGCTCATTTAATAAATGTACGTGTAAGTCGTCAGATTTGCAACAAGTCATTTGTTGTCATTTAGCATTCGAAGGTCATTCATTTTCAAGAAATGTATAATGTTTCATCAGAAATCACAAAATACAAGCAGTTCATTAAGTTCAAGCAAACTTTGCCTGCTTTTACCTTGAGTTCCATTTAAATTGAGTTTAATCATGTGACTCTTTTTTTTTCAATTTATGAATAGAGCTTCCATGTTCATGCCAACTACTTGATATATAATCACCATATTTTGGCTGTCTATGTATGTGTATGTGTTTGTGGGACCTATAGAGATGGTAATGTCTGCATACGTATTTGCACACAGTCGCACTTACTTGACTTGTGTGTGTAAATGTGTGTTTTAATGTGTGTGAACTTACAGAGATGGCAGTGACTCTGACAGCCTCCACAGTGGAGTGAGTGAACAGATACCACAGGGTGGAGCCTATGTCTGCTGTAACCAGGTGGTGGGAGGATCCAGAAACAGTGGTGGAGATGTTCTCTACGATTTTTGCGACCATGTGATGAACTATGGAATCATCCTGTAAGACGGACACACAAACACATTAGAATCATTTATTATTATTCACGATTGTTCAGTGACCACAGTGATTATAACAAGTATATATTATTTACTGAAATTATGAATTTAAATTGGCATTGACAAACCCAACTGACACTTCTCACACTGCCTATGTACTCTCATAATTTTTGCCTACAAATATTCAAACAATTTGAAAACGGATTATCTAGTTTTCCTGGACCAACTGATGAAAAATGTTATTAGAATCAATTTAAGAACCATCCTGAAAGAGGATGTGGGACCATGCCTTCGTCAAAAAACTTCGTATCCAATAACCCTCTTTGGCATAATCTTTAAATGGACAAGGACAGAGAATAACAGGTGGACACTGAAAAACTTGCATAGAGACACTGTAGACAGAAAGAACATACTGCTGTACTACGATATGTGCTGAAAATAACATTAGACCAGCCAAGTGGTGCATGTCTTCTATTTGCACCAATATATGTAAAGATAAGCTTTCATACTGCTAAGTTAATGTGCACATGCATCCTAATACCAGAGCATATCAATATCACAGTGCTCTGTGTCCAAAAAAAAAATGTTCTTTTTGTATATACTGTAATGGCATCATGTGCATCATATCCTCTTGTTCATTGTTATGTTACATACTCAAAACTCAATTACAGAAAAATGTCATACAGCAAAAGGCAGAACTGAACAAAGAACTAACACAATCACAAACTGGCAATTAGATTAGCTCTCAACATCACCTCTACACAAAAAGGAGAGTAAGGTTGTGTGTGTGCATGCGTGTGCATGTGTGAGCATATATGAGTTAGTGTTTGTGTGTATGCTTATGTGTATACTGTATGTGCCCACACACCTTTGCCTGAGTAGAGAATAGTTGTTTGTGTTCAGACAATGGGGCCAGCCTAATGAAATCTCTGTGGCTGAGGAAATGAGTTTTTCCAGTAAAGTCATTGTGGAGAAAGACAGGAAGTGGAACAGAAGTGATTGCCTCTGTCAGGTTATTGTTGTGTTTCACTGTGTTACATCACTTAGACACTATTCTCCCTAGATATGAGATACAATGGAGCCTATTCATAAAACACAGTTAACTATATTTCCTGGTAAAGGTTCATAATAACAGCTAAAACATTAATTTCACTGTGGCAATTTATCATGGTAATTCTGAAAGGTGGTGCAGGTGACAGATAATGCCATTATTACACTACTTAATTGTTGCAAATTTCACACGAAACTGCACTGGCTGTCCAAACATTTGCGTATATATGGAACATACCACACTTAAGAGAGACCTAAATGACAGAATCCATTAATTAAAGTGGTAGTCTTTTTAATATCAAACTAACTAAAGTTTTTAGTTTGTTTCTTCACAAACAACTTCGGCTGTAGTCAGCTTGAACTTATGTCATCTACGATGGACATACACCAATATCTTTCATGTTAACCCCCCTCCTCAAAAGCCCCAACACTCTTTCAGTATAATGCAGTATGTGGATGGACAGCAGATGTGGATTATGTGGATTAGGCTGCAGGAATAATTTGAAAAGTTTCAAAAGACCACAATTAGATACGCTTCTGCCATGAAAACTTGTCACCATAGGAATCTATTCTAATAGGCAATAATTCAAACTGGGCAGACTGTCGCTGCTATACGTCGGAGAGAACTGATTGTCAGTTGAGGTGTTAAACTATCTTTTTTTTTTATCATTTTCAGTTTCATGAAAAGATTTACCTCAATCTCATCTGCCTCAACATATGCACTATACCAGATCAGCAAAATAATGTCCTTACTGTCCTGCAGAAACCTCATGTCCAGAACAAAATGAATGTTTTGAAACTGACATTAGCAATGCATCAGTGGTCAGGCTGTGATCCACAGTTATTTAACATTTTACAAAAATTAGAGACACTACTCAACCACATGGGAACTCTAATCATAACTGATAGCTTAAATAACCTACCAATTAATCCAATATAGCGCATCACATTGTGTATTCAACACCAAGGGACTACATAGCACGACAACATAATGAATCCTCTGGCACCCCTCTGGGAACCAGTAGAATGGTCTGTTCCAGCATTCCCCAGGCCGTGCGGGCCAGCTCACTAATGAGCCCACGGGGGAGCACCCACTGTCTGTGTGTTTAATAGACTGTAGCCCTGCCAGGGACTACACAGAGAAAGAGAGAGAGGGGGAGACTGAAAGAAAGCGAAAGAGAGAAAGATGGAATGAGATACCCTTACATGTGGTGAGAAACAAGCAGCACATGCAAGAAACTCCATCATTATGATGCAGAGAGAGAAATTCAGGAGACAGAGGAAAGAGTAAGTTATTCTCATTATAATTTCTCCCAGTGTGAGAAACAAGTTCATCCAAGAAACACACTCATTATATTATACTCAGTGTCCTACTTAAACCTCACATCTCCAGAAAGTCAACTTTAAAGAAATAAAAGTGAAATTTTTGCAATGGCTTTCCCAATACTTTGGCTACAAGGTCACCTAAGATTTTTTTTTCTAACACACAAGGCTTCGCCAAGTTTGATGAGAAATCTGTAATTTTACATGACACCACTGAAATTATACAATCACAGTATTTTTTTCTCACAATACCAGAAATTCTTTGGAGCTGAGAGTTGTATTCAACAAGACAGACCATTTTTAAACATGATTGAAATTTTATGTTGCATCATCCTCACATCTATCTCCACTGTACATAAATATATACAGTATATATATATATTTCATTTTTATGCAGATGACACACAAATGTATCTGCCCTTGAAACAAAACGGTACCCTACAGCCACTGTTGGACTGTCTTAAGGACATTAAAGATTGGATGGCCTTAAACTTTTTAAGTTTTAATGAAAAAAAAACAGAGATTCTGTTATTCGGACCCAGTAGTGCCTGTGTTGGCCCCCACATAGACCTGAGCTCTGTAAGTCCATATGTAAAATCCACTGTTAGAAATCTGGGTGTGATTATGGACAGTGATTTTAAATTGGACAAACACATCAATTCAGTTGTGAAATCTAGCTTTTTCCAACTGAGGCTTTTATTAAAGGTCAAGTTCTGCCTGTATTTTAATGATTTTGAAACAGTCATCCATGCTTTTATTTCATCCCGCCTTGACTACTGTAATGCTCTTTATGTTGGTGTTAACCAGAACTCCCTCTCACGACTACAGTTGGTCCAAAATGCAGCAGCTCATCTTTTAACAGGAACAGGCAAGTAAGAGCACATTTCCCCCGTGCTGGCCTCCCTTCTCTGGCTCCCTGTACGTTTTAGGATTGATTTTAACATTTTAACTTTCGTTTTTAAATCATTACATGAACTAGCTCCATTTTACCTGTCGGATCTTTTAGTGGCACATGTACCTCTAAGCACTCTGAGGTCTGCTGACCAGTCGCTTTTAGTTGTGCCCAGATCCAGGCTAAAGCTCAGGGGAGACCGGGCTTTTTCAGTTGCAGCCCCCAAACTCTGGAAGGAGCTGCCTCTACATGTCAGACTGTCCCCCTCACTGCCTGTTTTTAAATCACGTCTTAAAACGCATTTTTATTCTTTGGCCTTTGACTCAGTATGAGAGTTGTCATTTCTGTCTGTTTTCACCAGTTTCTGTTCTTGCTGTGTTGTTTTTATGTTAATGATTGTATAGCACTTTGGTCAACAGCTGTTGTTTTAAATGTGCTTTATAAATAAATTTCATTTGATTTGATTTGATATTGAGGTAATTGTTGAGCCAATAGTTAGTTTTCAATAGACTAAAGACCCCTTTACACTGTGCAATTTTAACTGTGTGAGAGTAAGTCAACAGTCTTGGGAGAAACGTGGTAAAATCTGCCGTCATCAGTTCAACAGTGGTCCCAGACTGTACTTTGCCTGCGGCAAAATTCAGACTGTCAGAAATCCAAGACCAAAAGTATGACTGCTGTCATGACCTACATCTACAAACTAAGCAATCAGAACATGACGTGAAAAGGCACAGAATAGTAGCCGGTGTGACATTTTGTCATGTCATAGCAGAGAAAGCACAAATGTAATTTATAGCATTAATAACAACTGTATTCCATTTAGGTGAGCTAGTTTCAGGGTCATGGTATTGGGCATGCAGGCTAACTGGCATGGCTTATCGACCCTTAATGGAACTAAGCCATCATTAACCAACTTTGTTTAACCTGTGCTTTCCCTGCTATGACAAGTCAAAATGTCTGCCACAGAAAGGTCCATTAAGTCATTCACACTAAGCATTAAATACAGCTGAGGCTGATGGAAAGCAAGTAGTTGGCAATTTGCTTACAAACATAAGTATAGAGTATGAAGTTAGGGGATTCATCCTCTTGGGACCTTGAATATTGTGTACCAGATTTCATGGCAATCCATCCATTTGCTGTCAAGACATTTCAACCAAGAATGCCAACTTCATGTTTGCACAGCAGGAAAAATCAAGAGATCAACAACGTTATATATGGTATGGTAGGCCATAACACATCACGTTCCATCTTGCCTGAATCATTGTACAGCTAACTGGAGTGACTGCACTGCACCATGTCTCCTAGATGAAATAAATAAGATTCAGGAGGTTTGAACTACAGTGGAAACCGCTTGTAGTGATCACAGTTACATCATGATCAAATAATTGGCTTAGTAAGTAATCAAGTAGTCTTCTCCAGTGTTCATTTTGGGATATCATACATGACAACATATAAGAAAAATGTAAACTGTTGTAGCCTACTGCTGCAAGCTGTTCTTCCAACATGAGTTCATAAGTTGTGTGTGTGTTTGTGTGTGTGTACATGTGCTCTCTGTGCACACTCGCCACCATGTGATATCTTCACCAGCGTGGTAATTATCGTCCCTGCTCTCTCACAGCAGCAGGTATGTTATGGGAGTGTGATGCTTTCACCCTGACCATTCAGACTAGGCTTGGAGCTGGAGAGGGCCACAGTGCAGTTTTTTTTTTTTTTATTTTAACTTAAATAGCAAATTA